TAATATTCATTTAATATTATATATTGTTATTTAAAATGTTTACTTGTATTTTATTTTTATTTATATACACATCTTAAAAATACATCTCACCTATAATATTTAAAGATTTGTTTTGACATAAATATTTAAAAAGTAGGAATTCTGACAAAAGTAGAATCTAGAAAATGGAACAGAACGGGCTCGTGAAGGTTGTGAAGCGAAAAGGTGTCATTTTCATGGAATCACATCCACAAAGGTCCACTAATGGAGGAGTGGGCGGCCATAGATGAATGCGCTTGTGACTCGTGAGTGTCTCATTGGAATGCAAATTCAATTCAATTCAATATATGTTATATGTTATTTGAAGCCAAAGACCCTACCACTACCTATTCAGAAAGCAATTAAATAATATAATTTTACAGCATACAGTGATTTCACCAGTTCAAATGTGTAGCATCTTGAAGCTTACTTTGCGGCTGTGGGATTGAGATGGCACAGCATTTGTCGACCCGTGAAGTGGGTCGGCAACAGAATGGAGATGCCACTCACGAGACCCAAAACCAAAAAGTGAAACCTTATGGGACCTCTTCCTCCCATTAATTAACTATAATCCAACAATCTAATAAGACGTCTAATTATTTTTATTTATTCCACCTTCATATGCAATCCTCAAATCAGATAAAATAATTATGGATAGAAGCAAGAAAAGTGTTTGAAGGTTAAAGAATGAGATGGAAAGGAAAGGAGGAAGAAAGCAAAAGAAAAAAAAAAAAAACAGTAATCCTATCAACCCATTTCACAATTCAAAGCAAAACTCTCTAATCAGTGTCTCTCTACCCTTATCCTCTGTTCACAGCCTATAAAAGAACAACTTTGATTTATAAATATTCAAACATTATTAACATCTAGTTAACATTTTTGGTTTCTCTGTTTCTGATTGTATCATATTATCTATAACATTTATCGTTTCTTTCTGCTCTATTTCTACACCTAATGTATACACTCCAAGTGATGTCTCTCAAATATTTTTTTCAAAAGAAGTGAGTTACAGCATTAACTATACATTTAATATAGGCGTGCGAACTAAGAACATGTTGGCACAATAAGGAAAATGATATTCTACTATGGAATAATGACCATGTGCAGTTAACATCTCGTGATGAGATGAGACATGGATTTGATAGATAAAGAGTGAAGATGCAAAATCAATATGCCTAATTTTTCTCTCGTCTTCGTAGAAACAATATAGGACCACAAATTTGAAGATTGATTTTGTTAGACATAAGCCTGCGTTTGTCAATAGAATTCCAAGCTGGAAATCAAATTAATTGAATATTGATAAATTCTTATACACATTTGAAACAAAAAAATTCGTTACCAAACACCCCACGGTTATGAAAAAGCACCCAAGAAAAAAAAAAACTAAAAATCTAAACATGGGAGTGCATGGTTTATAATTTCAGAGAGTTTATAACTACTTATAACGATGGGTTTATAAAACATAAATTTTTGTTTAGAAAACAAAATCCTTCAAAGCACAAGGAAAAGAAAATGAGCATGCGTGCACTCAAAAATTTGTGGAAGGAATGATGTCAAACACAACTCCTGTTCCAAGTTTGCAAGCAAGGATTATGACTTGCCCTCATCTGTCATATTCTGTTAGTAAGTTACACTTACTGTAATTTTTTTTTATCTAAATAAGTGATATCTTTTACCAAAAATAATTTTACTTAAAGCTTTGTTTGAAAGTTAATTTTTTAAAAGAAAAAAAAGACATGTGATATTTATTTATGTTTAAGAGATTTTAAATGAGCGAGATGATTTATAAAGTTTCACATAACATCAGAGAGCTATATTTTTAAATTCAATGGAGTTTTGTATTAAATTTTTTTTCCTCCTTTTTCTTACCTTTCAAACATTTTTTACTTCTATCTGCAAACTTTCAAACAAATAAGCCTAAGTCTACTTAAGTCGGGTAAGATTAATGCAAAAATTGAATTTATCCTTTAAAAAATTTAATGAAATACTAATTAAACTAAAACAATCTCATACTAAATGATTGATATAATCAATAATACTTTTAGTGTGATTTGTCTAATGTGATTTTTTTAATAATAAAAATATTTACTGATTCATTAATCAGTCTCTCCCAACAATTTTTGTTAGTTAATGTGTTTTAACTTTAGGAACCAATGAATCTAGTGGCCTCACTTAAGTTCCTCTATAAATACTTGACATAGGTTACTCTACACACCAAAAACAAATTCCAGTTATTTTTCTTAGAATGGAGTTCTCGTGGAAAACTTACATGAGGGTACAAGTGAGACCCCTATTCCTCCTCACTTACTCTTTTCACTTCAAGTAGAATTCTCATATTCTGTTCTTATATACTCATGGCTTTAGTGAATACACTTATAGCTTCTTCAAGAGAACCTATGAACAATTTACTTTAATGGGTGCCTGTTTTTGCAGGTGATTAGAATAGTTTTTGCTCTCCTTTTGGTTGCACTGCTGAGTTCTGAGAGAGTAGAGAGCAGAAAAGCCAAGATTGTGACCACTTCCTTAGAGTACAATGCTATAAGTTGCAGAGCTCACAGTGCTTCATTGACAGATTTTGGTGGTGTTGGGGATGGAACAACATCCAACACAAAGGCTTTTCAGTCTGCAATTAGTCACCTAAGTCAGTATGCCTCTGAAGGTGGTTCTCAGCTCTATGTTCCTGCAGGAAAATGGCTCACTGGTAGTTTCAGCCTCATCAGTCACTTCACTCTCTATCTGGACAAAGATGCAGTTCTCCTTGCATCTCAGGTATCTATCTCTTTCTACTCCTATGATGACAATTCAACAATAGATACAAGATTTCTAGGCATAGTAAGGGACGGTTTGGTTTCTAGAAATGTGTTCTATTTTTCACTTTTAATTATAAATTTGATACCCTTTTTATTTTTTTTCAAGATTTATATAAGAAACAGTGAAAATAGAAAAGAAAAAAAAAGGATTTTTTTTTCAAGATTTATACAAATATTTGAAAACAGTAGACAGAATAGATAAAAGGTGACAATTTTGTAATTAAAAGTGAAAATAGAAAACGTTTACTTAAATCAAAGATCTTCTAAGTGTTCATTTTTGTGGTTTATGAAAACACTTAGAAATTTTATTGAAAAGCCCTCATTTCTATGTATGTACTTCAGGGTTCAGGTACCCCACAGATTTTCACCACACCTATGTTAGATCAGAGCCTTCCATCTGTTAGAATCTGTTGTTTTATGAACAACAAAATAAATTTTTTCATAATTTTCACTACTCACATTACTTTTACGCCTTTGAATTTGGAAGTGTATTATTGCTCCAGAGCCTTTCAAAGTGGTATTATTGCCCCCATGACTATGAAAATAGAGCCAAAATATTTTTCTCCAGATTCTACTGATTCTGTTGTTTGAGATAGTGTCGTTGTACCAAAAACTTGGCCTCATCTGCCTCTTCTTGAACCTTTCCTTTTGGCAGTATTTTGCTAGAGCTGTTTCCAAGTCTAGCAATGAAATTCATTAAGAGTTGCTCTAAGGTTTCCTTAGTTTGATTGCATGATTCATTAGAAGAAAATCAAAGAAAGAAATATTCTTTAATTTATTTTAGCCCAAATTGTTTAACCCATTTTATAAAAACAATCCTCCTGTTGTGTCATTATCATAAGCTCATTATTCTTTTGTGAAAATGGAAATAGACGTTTTAAAATGGGTTCACGTGAGTTACAAATAAGGGAAGATGTCCAATAAATGAAATGCAAAGAATGTGTCACAAGATTCCTCACTTTCTGCCGAGTGTATGTTAAAGCAATATTCTTAAATAATTCAACAATATACAAACTTCGAAACCTTTGGTACCTAACAACCGCTTTATCCTGGCACTATTATTGGTCTATTACTAGTGCCATTTAGTGGTCCATTTAACTTTTGTCGTGTTATTTTAGAAAACATTTCCTAGTGTGCCATATTATTTGTAATATTATATGTGTGTCGTTGCTAACTATATTTATTTTTTGTTTTAATAATATGGTTTAGGATATCACTGAATGGCCTGCGCTTGAACCCCTTCCATCATATGGTAGAGGAAGAGATGCACCAGCTGGAAGATTCACCAGCTTCATATTTGGTACAAACCTCACTGATGTTATTGTCACAGGTACGAGGGAAAAAGTTTCATTTCCATGTATCCAAAAGGTTTAATTCTAGTTACCAAAATATATTTTTTTTTATGATGAAATATATAATAATTTAGTACGTAAAATTTAATATTAAATATGGAATAAATATTCTATCGTTATTACTAGAGTTTTGTTAACCTCAACTCTTAAAGTTTAGAATAAGCAACTAATAATAGTAAAATTTTATTAAAAAAAAAATATTTATTGTATTTTTATAACTTTAATACAATAACTATGTATTTTTTTATAAAAAATTTTTATTTGCATATGGTTAAATTCAGTCCTAACAAAACTCTTATTATTATTTCTATGATAAATGTTAATATGAAACATGACCCTTTTGTTAACAGGAGAAAATGGCACCATAGATGGTCAGGGTGCGTTTTGGTGGCAGCAATTTCACAGGAAAAAGTTGAAGTACACTCGCCCGTACCTGATTGAATTTATGTTCTCAGACAACATTCAAATCTCAAATCTAACTCTCCTCAATTCCCCATCATGGAATGTTCATCCTGTTTACAGCAGGTAATCCTTTTCATTTGTATTCAAGTCCTACAAAAAAGTGTCCTTAGATATACACTTCATCATGCATCACTTTATAGCCTCTTCCTGTATTTTACTTTCAAGATTTTAACAAAATTTTCAATATTATACAGCAATATTATTGTGCAAGGCATCACTATTATTGCTCCTGTCACATCTCCAAACACGGATGGCATCAACCCAGGTCAGTATTTCAAGATCAACTTCAGATTCTTAAAATTTAGAATGATGTTACTCCCAAGCACAAAAAGAGGACAATAATTAACATTGACCATTAGGAATTAAATAAATAATTAAATATATGGCATGGCAAGCAAGTATTTGATACAACGTGACCAAAAAATAAGATTTGAGGTTTGGATTGAAACAAATATTTTAGCTGGGTCTCATTTTCTTTCTTCATTTTCCTATCAGATTCTTGCACAAATGTAAGAATTGAAGACTGCTATATAGTTTCTGGGGATGATTGTGTGGCTGTCAAGAGTGGATGGGATGAGTATGGCATTAAGTTTGGGTGGCCCACCAAACAACTAGTGATCAGAAGATTAACATGCATTTCACCATACAGTGCAACCATTGCCTTGGGAAGTGAGATGTCAGGTGGAATCCAAGATGTGAGAGCTGAGGACATCACAGCCATCCAAACAGAATCAGGGATCAGAATCAAAACAGCAGCAGGTAGAGGAGGGTATGTGAAGGACATATATGTGAAGGGAATGACTATGCATAATATGAAGTGGGCATTTAAGATGACCGGTGATTATAATTCTCATGCTGATAGCCACTATGACCCAAATGCCTTGCCTGAGATAAAAAACATCAACTATAGAGATATGGTGGCTGAAAATGTGACCATAGCTGCAAGGTTTGAAGGAATCTCCAATGATCCGTTTACTGGAATCTGCATTGCAAATGTGACACTAGGGATGGCAGCCAAGGCCAAGAAACAGCCATGGACATGCACTGACATTGAAGGGATCACAAGTGGGGTGACCCCTCCACCTTGTGGTTTGTTACCTGATCAGGGACCAGAGAAGATCACATCATGTGATTTCCCAGCAGATAGTCTACCTATTGATATGTTGGAGCTTAAGAGATGTACTTACAGCATGACATATGTTGGGATTTAATAGTCTATGTAGATGATCTATATAGGAAGTCTTTCTTACATTGTCCAGAAAGCATTTCTCAAGTTGAGAAATGAGTGGTGTTTCAGGTTATAGTAATGAAACAATTTTCTTTTTCTTCCCTATTTTATGGAACTTGATGGCTTGATGCTGCTAAAATTCCCAAAGCTAATATTAGTAAAAAAATTTCTGGTTAAAGTCTTGATATGAGTATCCCATACAGATTCGTTCAAATCAAGCACAAAACTGAGAAGACTATAAGAGTGATCATGGAAGGTGAGCAACTCAAGGTATTTTCTGAAAACATTTTCAAACACTAACAAACCATTACATTTTATGTCATACAAGGGGATAATGTCTGTCCCAACAAATGAAAGTTTTCCTCTTGTAATATTTGTGTGTCTAAATTCTAAAGGATAGAGAAACTGGCAGCATCAGTTAACTGCACCAAATTGTTTTACCTAGTCTGAAGGATAGAAATACACCAAGTCAGAGCCCATGGATATTAGAATTACTGCTGAAATCTTCGAGTGTGCAGCTTGTCTTCTGATCATTCCAACAGTACATCTCAAAAATATAGTTATCCAAGAATGTAAATAATAATCAAATGAAAGACAACGTCACAACAGCCTCATTAAATCCAAATACAATTTACCAAAAAATCTCAATATATCCAATATGTTTAATACTTTTGTAGAGAATTGACAACTCCCAAGTAGTGTTGTTAATCAGTCATCATCATCTCACTATGCACATACAATAGTAAAGGTAAAATCTCAATAAATAGGTGGATCGGGATTAAACTTCACAGATTCTCTCCAGATGAGTTCCTTGATATCTTCTTCAGTGAAAGATGGTTGCTCAAAATCAAAACTGAAAGGTATAGCGCAAACAGGTTCCTCATTAATATCATGAAGAGGTGCCAAGTATGGGTGGCCCAGAGCCTCATTAACTGCAAAGAATCATGAAGTATCATACCATTAATAAAAATATCGATGAAAAGAGAATTCCAACAACTTTAAAAGCCTACTGCAGATATATTGTCAAGCAACAATAGAATCTTTACCTAATGGTCAAGTTTATCGCTAGCAGTTTACAAGCTCTGGATTGCAGTTGGATGACATACTAATTTTTAATATTTTCAAATCAATAGTAACTTAAATAAAGCACACTGAATTGAGATGATAATTTTGCATGTGATACCAAATTTTGGATGGTATGGGGCCTTACTGAAGTATTGGTAAAACATAAAGGAATTGTTTGATTCATGTAACTAACCCCATACAGTGGGAAAGAGCTTTGCTTGCTGTTATTGTTTTTGTTGACCAACATTTCATATTCAGTGTTGTCAGAGACAAATCCATCTAAGACTACAACAAAAACTAAGCCTTATCTCATTATGTGAGATTGGCTACTAATCATTCTGAAACTAAATTTAAGAATTTTTTCATATTCAAATTTCAGCTACAACTATGAACATGGCATAGCAAGTTAATAAATAATTATGGTAAGTTTTTCATCATGTCCAAATATTATAAATTTTATGAATTCACAAAAGCTAATTGAACTGGATGAAATGCAAACTACAGTGAGAAAATGAGTATTTGACCCACTTAACCAATAACAATCAGGTCATTGATCTGGTTGTTCCAACATAATAAATCAGCAAACTCTACATAAATTTAACACAGCAATTTATAAAACAAAATTACAAGAATTGCACCCAAAAAAGGAAGAATAATAATTATATGATTTACCTGTAATGCGCCTGTTTGGATCAAATACAAGCATCCTTTCTAACAAATCAACAGCACCAGGAGACATGTTCGGAAATCTAGCAGCAAACTGTTGCCTTGGATATTGTGGAAGCTGTCTTACATATCTCCGAGCATTATCACTTCTTAGAAATCCAAGGCTAGTGTCATCAGGTGAACCTATGAGCTTTTAAAAGCAAGGAAATTTGGTGATGCTTAAATCAATATTTACACATGGAGAATAAGTCTGAAATGGATCCAAAAATGAGAGAAAATGTGCAATCTCTTGGGAAAAACGTATGATCTATTTCTACTTATGCAAATTGCAAGATGGCAGCCAGCTGGAATCTAATGACTAATCTATCCAGTCATATTTTATTCATTTTTCATTTCTCAAGTTGATGTTCTGATCTTAAGTTCTCTCTCCCAGGAAGAAAAAGCACAGTATGCAAGTCCACACAATGCATTACAGCTCTTGGTATTCAGTTTAGACATGATGATGCAAGCTATGTAATCCATTGAATGCAAAAGAGATACACTACATACAAAAATTTCACTAAAAAGGTGTACATTTTATTTTACTGACAATAGCAACCAAACCTTATCTCATTAAGTGAGGGACTACATGGATCATATAACGTCATTGTGTATCAAAACAACTTTTAGTAAATGTAGTAAATCAAACTGTCTTCAATTAGATATTTTGATCCAATTTTTTTGATGGGTCTCCTGTTGGTCTTCTCCTCACACAACTAAACCACCTTAGATGAGTCTTTGCTATCCTCTCCTCAATTAGCATAAATTTACTATATTCTTAATGGCGTATTTTCAATCTTGTGGCTATTCTAGTAGTTTTCATTAGTGTCCTTCCTAGACCTAGGATCTGTGAAGCAGAGACACCTCTATATAGTGGAATGTCTAGGTGTCTGACACTGACACTTGTGCAACACGGCCTAAACACATGTCAAACACCAATCTATAAGTGTCCAAATTTAAAAATATTTTTTAGCGACTTGGATATGCGTCAGACATGGCTCTGTGACATGGTTGTACACAACTCCAACACTAGAAATTATATTTTTAAAAAAAAATTAAATTGGTTAAAAGATTAAAAAATGTTTCCTTTGAACGTTTACATTTCAACTCCTAAACTCCCTCCTTTCCATCCTGCCATGGACAAAGTTGTCTATTAACTATTCTGGCATCCCATAACACTCTTGTTTCATCCTCCTTTATTAGTTCTGCCATTGACCAGGTCACATTTCGTCATTCACCATTCTCTAGTTGATGTTCATCTCTGTTCTCTATCCTTAGACTTAGTTATATACATACATACATGCATATATATATTTATATATATAAGCAGTGTCTCATGGTCCATGTCAGAGTCGGTGCTTCATAGTCTAGGATCTAGTTGTGTTTATTTAGTTTTATTGGCTTCTTCTCAAGTTATATTTGTTTAGCTTTTATTATACTTATAAGAGGCTGACTACTCAACTTATGGACTACTTGGTTCACAAGTTTGACTAAGCCTTCTATATGTAATGTAACCAGTTACAAAATATAACAGTGAATGAAGAAATTATTTTCAGGGAAAAACCTTAGCCACTAAGCTTGTGATGGGTCTCTTTCTCTTGGGTGTGATAACCTAAGGACACTGGGAGAGATTCTTAGATTCTCTTTCTTCTTAATTTTTAATTATTACTGTTGTCTTTACTTTTTTCAGTATCTTAAGAATCAAATTTCACCCTTAATCCTCCCAAGAAAACTGAATTTTTTATCCATTGAATCCTGTGCATTCTTTGTCTTGCATCAAATGGTCTACATGGAGCACGCCCATCACTCCATACAAAATTTCTCACTCAATCCACTCAATTACAAGTGAATTCAAAATTCTAATCTATAAAGGGAAAGTAAAAATGAATGAAAGCATGCCTGCAATTCAGTAGTCAGATTCTCATTTAAGATTTCTAGTGAATACCTCTGTAATCAGTCTGAGCTGATGAACATAATCTCTCCCAGGAAATAGGGGTTGTCTTGTTATGATTTCACCAAGGATGCAACCAACAGACCATATATCAATGGCAGCAGTATATTCGGAACAATTAAGAAGCAATTCTGGAGCTCGGTACCATCTGGTAACCACATATTCAGTCATGAAATCATTTTCAGACGTAGTTCTAGCAAGACCAAAGTCTGCAATCTTAAGATCACAGTTGGCATTCAGGAGCAAGTTGCTAGGCTTTAGATCACGGTGCAGAACATTTGCTGAGTGTACATATTTGAGACCTCGTAACAACTGATACAGAAAATACTGAAAATTGTATCTTATCAGTCACTGTGAGACAGTATAATTGCATCTTATATATACTTTTGCTATATAAATCCATGCATATTGAGTTCTGTTATAATTTAAAACAAAAAAGTGAGAGCCCAAGAGATTCTAAACAGTAAAGAAGAAAATTCAAAACAAAAAGCTCTTGGGAATTTTAATTAAGCTTTTTATCTTCAGTTTGAGCAATAATATTAAAAAGGAGAATATGTTACCCATGCCATAATCCAAAGATCTTTCAACAAGGTAGACATTAAAAGGCATATGCTAAAAGATAAAGTTGTAGTGCTAACCCGACAATGGTCATCATTCAATGGTTGATTGGACCGAATTATTTGATGCAGATCGGTATCCATTAACTCATAAACAATATACACATCATTGAAGTTCTCCCTCTGCGGTGGTCGTATAATGTCTTTGAGGGCTATCACCTGCATTGGAGAAGTAACCGGTAAGTAAGCAGCTTTATTTCCAATTGAATTCCGATAACAATTTTAAGATCAAAATGCAATCAGGAAACTTCCATAAAAAAGAGAATGTATATCTGGAGAATAACTGACTACATGTCAAGTATTTGCTCTAGAGAAATCACCACCTTCTGATCCATTTACACAGAAATCTTTCCAACAAAATTTGAGCAAGAATGTCAAAATAAAGCTACTTACTTACAAAACAGCAAGATGATACTTTCCATTCAAAAGAATCTTTTAGTTTGATGATCTGTGATTAAATGATAGCGAAGACCAGATATATTGCTCGGACCAGCATGCTTAAATAAGTAAAATTTCAGCATAACACACAAAAAAATATGCATCTAGAGAAAATAGTGTACAGTAACATATCGATAAGTAGCTCAGCTAATAGAAATTAGAATCACATTTATAATTCAAAATTTTGAATAATGCCACAGGATATTCTACTGCATTGAGCTTTATTTATCTAAAAACTTCAACCAACTTTCAAAAATGAAAATTTTCAGCTATCACGTAACATAACTTGGATAAGAATTAGATGTAACCACAACACTACTTTCAACTCTTAATAGGTGTGGACTCACAAAATGCATGCTTTCACAATATATTAAATAGAGAACAAAAGAAGGAAAGTTTCAGGGAAGATTAAATATAAAATGGTATCAAGGCCAGGGTATAAATTTCTAAGCAAGCCAAGACAAAAAAAAGTACACAAGCAAATATAATATAAATATACCAAAAACCAAAAGTTATATTCTGTCACTATATCTCAATATCAGTTAAACACTTAGGCAGCATACACAAATCAGAATTTTGATGTGTTGTTGTTTTCAAGTGTTTGGAAATTTTCAAAAAAAAAGTGTAACCAAAAAGTATATCAATGTGTACTACCAAATTATAGATATGTTTATGGGTACTAAAGCATTTGTCCAATTTTAACCAAACAACAGTATGATGCTTAAAAGGTCCTTCATCACTTGCAAAATATGGAAAATTTACCAATAGTTGCAGTCTTGCAGATATAACCAAAAACTAAGAGGCAGAAACAAAGAAGAAATGAAAATAAGGCAACAATAAGTCAAACAAGAGATTTCAAACTGCAAGAGATTGGAAACGACACTCCCTTAATATCCAAAATTGAGAGGGGAAAAAAAGATAAGCAATACAAATGAGGAAAACAAGGTTTGGATGTAAGCTTGCAAGTAAAAAAGTTCATTTAAATTACATTTTCATGATCCATGTGCCGAAGAAGTTTAATTTCTCGTAGGGTCCTTTTGGCATCTATTCTGTTGTCAAATGCATTGCCAACCTTCTTAATGGCAACTTCTTCACGTGTCTCAGCATTTACAGCAGCACTGAAGGAAAATGAAAAAACTGCTTTGTTCATCATATTGTTGATAACAGAATCTAAAACCATATGTATGACAGAAGAAAATTCATTGTCTAACACACAAAATTCTAAACACCATCCACAAGATACAAATTATCTTCAGTTTAAGGAGTCTGAAAATCCTGAGGATAGTGTTATTTACCGTGTCAATCATTGAAACAGAGCCAACAAAATAATGGTCCTATTTTATTATAAATTCAGCTCAAAGAGAACCATAGCATCTATCTATTTATGTTCACTTTGAAATGATCGCTACCGACCATCAAGTTAAAAAATGGGAGAGTTTTTATAACATTATGTGGAACCAGAGTTACTTGGGTGGGAAAACAAAGAATATACAAATTTTTATTGTTTCACTGGTATCAAAATGGATCCTTGCATGCTTAAATAAAATAAATTTGATGGATAACATTGAAGACCATAAGATAAATTCTAAGAGGCCAGTTAAAAAGACAATACCATGCTCCCAAAAAGGAAAATGAGAACTTTAGACCATGACACCCAGCTAGCTTCAGCCAAAATGTGAATTAAGCTCAATAACAAGATAATCTGTGGCATAATCCTAAAGGCACGTAACTCGATATGATTAAAATAAATCTTACAAGACTAAAACTTGATTCTCTTTCAATTACTCTATACTCCAATCAAACTCAAACAATTAGATTTTTAATCTCAAGAATCCAATCGGCTAAGTATAATAGCTCACGTTCAGTTGACGAATCCCATCACTCCCATATTACAAAATCGTTGAATAAAAGATATAAAATTTCAAAAGTGGTCTTCACCATCACCAAAGTAAACACTTCTATTCCCCATTCACTTAGATAAAAGACACATGCCAAACATCTACTTCCTCTAGGATCACAATTCAAAAGCAATCAATCACCAAATGAACTATTTGTAAACCTACTCCAACAAATACACCATCACCTATGTTTCTGAACTCCCCTTACATTCAAATCCAAAATCAACAAAAACAATAAAAGGCCTTTGACCACCATCAAAAACCACTTCCTTGCTTTCAAAGCTAAGTGTTACAAACCCCCGGAAGATGCAAGCCAAATACGATATATAGCTTAAAAAATAGCAACCCAAAAACAACAAAAAACAAATCAAGTAAGCACCTAAAAGATAAAGCTCAACCCCACAAAAGAATTTTGCTTACCAAACAATACCATAAGCCCCTCTTCCCACAGGGCGAATAGGAGGAACATACTTCCTAGATACCTCAAAGAGGTTGCCATAGATATTGTACTGAACATAGCGTCCACCATGAGTGGGAACTCCTCTTACGTTATTGTGGTCAGCTGAAGCATGAGCTGACTCAAGAGACATGTCTGGTTTTCAATCCAAAACCACAAAATGGGAAGAGACCCAACAAAGAAAAGAATGATTTTTCTGAGAAAGGAGCTAAATTGAAGTGGGATGTGCTGAATTTACTAGGGACGTGTCGGTAGGAGTAGAAGTAATAGTCTTTGACATTTCGTTTATGAAAGAAAGTGGGGGAGAGAGAAAGTGAATGTGTCAGAGAGAGATAGTAGGTGTGTTTGCTTGCCTACATGCATAAGCGTGTGTACGTGAGAATTCAAGTTAGACTTTTGAACTACAAACGCTCGTGTGAATCCGTGAAGATGTGCCACTTTTTGAAGCTTGGCTTTTTCTTCGTATAGAATGCCCATGCTATCTGTGAATTGAGTTTGATTTTGGACTTAAAATGATTTTGTTTTTTTTTTTTTTTATGTTTTCACTTGTTTTGTTTGGTTTTGTTAAGGTTTTTATTTTGGTTTTGTTGTTTTTTATTTTTATTTTGGATCAAATTGTTTTGTTTACTTTTAACTTCATCAGCCAAGAAACGTTGATGATTGTTCATGAACGAAGATAATGAAAAGTTAGTTTAAAAAAAAAAGCTTTATTTTTTTTGGCCGTTGGTGAAGACTTTCGCTTTGCAACCTACCAACAGATTACATGTTAAATTATCTAATTTTTTAGATACATGAATGTCTTGACTTTTATTTTATATTTTTATGGGAAAAAATGTGTGTTATTCTTAACTTCATTTTTGAATCAATTTTAAGTATCTCGTGTATATTCATTAAGTATTAGATTTAAACGCATATAAATTGTCCAATAAGTATAACTAAATTGTAACATTTGATAACAAGATTCTAATTCTATTATAACACCTAAATAAAACAATATTTTCTCCTTTTCTTTCTCTTTGGGCTCTTATTCTTAAGCATTGCTCTAATTGTGAAACTTCCTTATACCTTCTCTTTCTCCTAATCTTTTTAGTTTTCTAATTGAGATTTCTTTTATTGTTTAAACGTGACCCCTTATAATTAGATTTAGCAATTGTTAAAATTGCTTAATAAAAAATGCTAAAAAAAATTTCTCTCTTTTTCATTTGAAGAAATGATGAAGTTGAGTGTCTACAATTTAGGGGGACTATGACCTACCAAAATGTCGAGTCAAATTGTTTGGATGTAGACCAAGCAAATGCTACAAGTTGAATTATACAAAAGGGCATATGTACGTACGAAGTGGTATATAATACAGTAGCACTTGTTCATCCTATTTTTCAGCCTCTTTCTCTTGCAATTTTTTGAATATGACAAGTCGAATGCTCCATTACTGATCAAATCTAATAAGGATTTGGATCCTTTCATGTGATTGAATAATATAATATAATTATGTTAAAGAGATAAGGATATATTTTTTTTTCATTAAATTTAGTTAACAAATTCTACAATTAATCATAGTAGGTTTTGATTTAATAAAAATTATATTTTTTTCCCAAATATGATTATATTTCTTCTTTTTTTCTTTAGAATTTTAGCTATTTTATTTTATTCACTTTTTTTCATCATTTATAAAAATACTTAATAATTAATACTTTTATTTAACTTTAATAATTAATATTTATTTAGTAGAGAATAAATAAATAAGTGAAATAATTGAAACAATAGATAAATAGAAAGTTATGCAATATTTTATAAAATTTACAATATCAATTATTTTAAAATTATTGTTTAAAACTTTAAACAAAAAGAACGGAAAGAACATCATCTTACATAATATAAGAAGATTAAAATCCGTTCATACATACCAATTGCCACATGAACCGCAATAAATCAACAATTAATGTTAATTCAAATATAATGTGTAATTACCTATAATGATAATAATTTAGATCGTCTATGTTAATTAGCCAACTAATCAGAATAAGAACCATAATTCTTAAGTAAACTGTGCATGCTTTGAAGATATTACATTGCTTTATAGTATATAAACAGTGAAAAACAAGAAAAATTGTATGATCCTCTTCGAATTCAAAGAAAGTGGAGTTGATTTGTGTTTCTCGTTTGTTTAATTCATAGTCAATATTTGGTTTGGGTTTTTATGGCTTTAATTTTGGTCCCAAAGTTGACCATTGAATTTGAAAACGAGTAGAAATAGAAACATCGTATATGGTGGCCCATTGACTTGACTAGTCTATAGTCGCTACAAATTCCCCACGCTAAACTTTCAGTTGGCCATCCAAAAACAAAACTTTTCTAATACGTCAAATATAAATATTTTGGTGAACTCTCATTTAATGTCACAAAACTTTTATTGAAATGACATGATTGAACGGTATTAGATGTTATATTTAAGAAAATAATATTTTAAATACTTTTGCTAAAAAAATATTTTTATTAATTTATATATTAAATTTAAAGTTTATATAAATAGAATTCTGTTAACTTTAACTTTTAAAGTTGAGTTTAAATATCTATAAATAAAAAAAATTTATAAAAAAATATACTTATAATATATTAAAATTATAAAAATACAATAAATACTTCTCTTTCTAATAAAATTTTATTATTATTAACTACTTATCTCAATCTCAAGAGATGAAGTTAACAAAACTTATATAAATATATTAAGTTTATAAATTTTTATACAATTTGAAATCAACTAATAATTTATCATTTTACTTTATTTTAATGAATATATTAAAATATAAATAAATAAGTATTATCTTATCATATATTTATAGATATTTAAATTATGAAAAAATTATGTATATAATAATAATAATAATTATTATTATTATAATATCACATGATTTAATAATTAAATTAATAAAAAAAATACTAATTATATATAGTTATTTAAAATATATTTTACTAAATTTATCATTGAGTAGCATTTCATTTTGTACCTTTACTAAAACTTATTATCAAGTCATAATCATAAAATAGGACAACCATTAATATTCTTGATCTATTTATCAAAATATAAAAGTTAAAGCTGTGAAAATTCTTGTCCTCATATTCTTCAGTCATGTTGACAACTGCTCTAATTATATAGTTTGGTCAATACAAACTGTTCAAAAATACCCTTATTTTATGCAAATTGAGCTATGTGCTTGGATTGCACTTAGCTACTTAAAATTCAACTTTACTTGCATGTTTATAAGGTCTTTAGACTTACTGTCAATATTAATCCTAAAATAGGTCATACACCATCACCCAACAGTGTCCTATGAAGCTACTTGTCTGGGATATTTCCTACAAAGGATGGAACATCATATTTTCTGTGCCTCACCAAACCTTTTAAGGATGATATCCAAAAAATAAACCAAACAGCACTACATTCACATGGAGAATATCAACAAGTGTCCTTATGTCTTTGACTAAGGAATTTGAATTATAAAATTTAATGAATAATAATTACACACTTTTCTTTGATTTTCAATGTAACTACACCGATATTTTTTATAAACAAATATTTATTACTTTTAACTAATGAATTTAATTTGCTTATTAATAAGATCATATAAATATCATGTTAATTTATTTTAAATTATTATCCCTATGCAAATTTTTTTTTAAAAAAAATTATTCTCATCCTTCTTGTCTTTTTACTATCTTCACTGACTAAATTAAAACTTTAATAATGATAATGATAATAATATAATAAAAATTTAGTTTTGAATTAAATTATTTAATAATACTATTCTTTGCCACTTTAAACCATTTTAAAAACATTAATATTTTCAACATTTTTCTTCTTTTTTTTTTCTTGTTTTTCAATATCTTCACTTAATAAAATAAAAGGTGTCAATAAAGTAAGATAATAATATAATAAAATTAGTGAACGTGTTTTGACAACGAGTTAAAAAAACACAAGTTGCAGAGGCAAGTGCATGTAAATGTGTAACCAAAACCAAGGTAATTTTACTTCCCCGCAGAATATGCTTTGCAGCAGATTTGATACTTACGAGTAAAGATAAGACACGAGTTCCCATCTAAAATTCATCTAAGTACCAAATATTCAAGTATTACTAAAGTCCAGAAGATCTAAAATTGCCAAAAACAATACCATGCAATGATGGGCTTGGGTTTTATGTGGCTCATGCTGGTTCATACCTCACACTTTACCTTAGAGGTAGCAAAACAGAAGGTTCACAGAGGGAGAACAAGCAGAGAGCTTGACTTCCTCAGTTCTCTATTCTGTGAACCATACATCATCATCTTCACAGAGCTTGGTCTCTGCTTTCTTCAGCAGAGGTCGCAGAACTCTCTCATGAGTCTCATCTAAGTTCATAGAATGATATTGATCCAGTAGGCACTGTCTTCACCAACAGTTAACATCTTTACTTTCTTCACCTCCTCAGATTCCAAAGGGGCTTTTAATAAGGCAGACAAAACAAAACAGAGGACTTGACTTCCTCAATCCCCATTTTGATCATCTTCCTCACAAAGCTCTCTCACCTCACCTCAGAGTTGTTAGAGAAATTCAATTTATCTTGAACGCAACTCACTTTTCACAGATCCCAACAAGAAGGAATGCAAGGTGGCTTCGCCAAACTCACATTCAATTTTGCAGGGTTTGGTGAGTAGAGGTGTTGGAAGATCAGAATCCGAAGGTGATGCACTTTGGAGTTGCAACTGTTCTGTCAGTTTCACAACATCAGATGATAAACGCGCAATATGCTAAGTAACGTGTGAAACTTAAAAATGTGCTGCAAAGCATCCTATGATATTCAATCACAAAGGCCATTGCACATGTCTCTATAGATCATGTTGTTCGAGAAACATACTGTACGAGAGATATACCACATCATAAGATATTGAAAATGAAGTCTAGGACAACGTCAAGAGAGTTAAAAGAAATTGGACAGAATAAACAGCGACCAAGAGAGGGCACTAAAGAAAGTGCTCGAAACCAAACCTAGAAACAATAAGTTGTGTATAATGTAGATATAGTTCACAAACTGGTAAATCCATATTCAAGAATAGAGTCAAAGCCACATAACTGACTCAGAGACTTCTCCATATGAATCCTTATTCTTTTTCTGTCTCTAATCAATTTTTGAATGTGTGCTGCAACAGCAGAAGTTTCACTCCCCTCCCCTCCCCCACCCCTCCAGGAGAAAAAAAACAGAAACAGCGACCACATTTTTTAGTTCCATGATAAATAAACATTCCCCCCCAATTTGGAAACATGAACTAATGAATAAAAAGAATTAGTCACAACAAACTAACAAGTTTCTCTGAGCACAAGTAACATTTTTATATATATTTTATCATATAACATTACACAGAACATCACAGTTATACATTTCAGAACAATAATACAATCATATAACCTGTTACTCATGTTAACCTGAATACAATAAGCCAAACATGATTGAGTACCATCAACCATAAAACAGAAAACCCAATACCTACATCCATTGGTATTTACCAGAGTTGGGTTGCAACACATTCAATTGACTACTTGTGCGTCTCTGTTACCCCCAAAGATGCGATCATCAACAGTTGCACCTGACCTCAGATTAGATAGCAAGGCATCACGACCAGTCAGGACCACTTGGAAAAAGCTATCAACTTCTTTTGTAAGAAGATCCAATCCTTGTGAAAGCCTCTCTGTTGCTCTGCCTAATTCCCCAACAATCTTCACAAGTGATTCTGTCCCGGTAGTATCTACAACACCCTGGATAATAGGATATAATTCTTTCACAGAGGAATCAACCACTTCCAACTCATTCAATCCAGCAAGCCTCCCACTTGAAAATCTAACTCTAATTTCCTTATTTACAAGATCTTGCAAATTTCTAAAGGTTGGAGCCCAAGAATATATGTCAGCCACATCCAAATCTGACAAATTCTTTGTAGAGCCTGAAAAAGCTGCAGCAAACACACTGCATATAAATACTGTCTGTACCTTTACTCCATAAATAGCTTGCATCAAAACCTTTCCTTTGGCTGACTTTTTAACCTTTGGAAGATCAAGAGACCCTACAAGATCACCCAAAATGCTGCCACATTTCTCAACCCTAGGGTTTATAGAACCAATATGCTTCTTCCAACCATCAAGTGAAGAACATGCCCGAACAAATTGCTCTGAAGAGGAAGAATCTAAATTGTGCAAGGCACACTGAAGCAACAGGTGACCCTGATTCAGACGTGATAACTCAGAGCTAAATGCAATGCATATATCTAGCAACTTCACACTAATGTCCAAGTACACATCTATCCATTTCTCGTCCCAATCATGAACAGGCAGCTCAAGTTCTGTTATGAGGGTCTTGATATCATTATGACTCTCACAAAGTGACTGCATAGCCAAAGTCATCCAAGACAAGTTGAGGATTTCATCCTTGCTTTTAGGAATAAGCTTTTTCAGCCTCTCTTCCAAAGCTGCTTCACAAGCATGTAATACTGCCAACAGCTGTGGAGAAAACTTAGTTCCTTTGGCTGATATCATCCTAAAAGGATTTCCAAAAGGGAAGAATGATCGATTCGCATCCTGTGGACGACTCATTTAGAATGTAGAATTTTTACTGTTACAGGAAAGATTAAAAAGTAAGAAATAATATTGCTGAATAATGACCACACAAATTAATTACCAGTCACACAAACGCAGTTTGTTGTATAACATAAAATCTACAGAAGGAAGGACCTCAACAATCAACATGAAATACAATTATGTGTTAATTATGCACTAGGTTTCAGAATAACTGTGCCAGAACAGCATGTTCAAAAGCAATATTAAAAAGGAGAAAGGAAGAATGCGAACATGAAATTCTGATAATATTGAGATAGTCAATGTCACATAACTAGCCTCCATTAGCCACCCCAAACACCATTTCCTCTCCATCTAATTATTTCATTATTATGATGATAAGCACTTAGGTTGCTTTCCAAACTCGAGTTGTAAACAAGTATGAGATAAGTTTGATCAACTAATCCTAAATAACCAGCCTATTATTGATAATCAATTAAGCAAAGTCAACAGTACCCAAAATCAAGGAAACAAAAATTTCACAACCAGGAAATTTCAATTCAGATCCATTCTTCATCACCTTGAAACCCCATCAGGGAATCAGAAATTAACAGCTAACTTTCTGAAGTTTCGATACAAAAGCATATACAAAAAAAAAAAAAAGCATAAAAACCACTACCCTTCCATTTTCCTGCAACCTTCCTCCCAATTAATAATTAAAAAACCCCAGAAAATAAGTAAAAATCTTATAAAATCCTTTCTACCAAATACTCCATCACCCCATCTGGACCCTCTCAGAAGCTCAAACAGGAAATAACCGTGTACAGACAACTTAAAAAAAAAAAAAAGCATTTCCATTTTCCTACTAAAATTCTTTGAAAAATCAAGAAAAAAAACGTCTAAACCTAATAAAAAAACGCTAGATCGTGAAGCCAGAAAACCCAACAAAGCGAAAAATTTGACCGATTTTCGAAATTTTCACTAAAACAAAAAAATATTAGAGGAAAAAAGGGCATTATGTTTTAGGGTTTTTCGGGGGAAAAAAATTAAAAAACGAGACTTACGTTGATAAATGTACGAAGGGAGGATGAAAGGTTGAAGAACAGCACCTGGAAGAGATGAGATCGGAAAAATTTTGATTAGGGTTTGGTGGTTGTTTTGTCTTTGATACTTCGAACTTTCGATAAGAGATTAGGGTGGAAGGTGTGTGTTTGTGGTGAAGGAGACGGTGATAAAGCTACCAAGTTTGGCCTTAGATTCTATGAACCTGAATAACGTGGTATCATATTATTGGTGCCTTTTCCAATTTTTTTCTCTTTTTTCTAATGACTTTTCATCTTTTTATGGATCAATCAAGAAGTTGTTAGAAAAACTCCACAAAAACATTTTTTTATATTTTTTGTATTTTTGAAAAAAAAATTATAAAATCTCAAATATTTTTAAAACGATTCTAAAACTTATTATTCTAAACAAACACTCAATCGAGTATTTATGTTTGGATCCACGTTTTTTATACTATCAACACACCTTAATTAGATGGAGTAACTTTTGAACTTTAAGTAATTGCCCATTCAACGTGAACTCAGACATGTAGTATATGTTTCTTTTATTACATTTTTTAAGTAAATTGCGATCCTTAACATTTATATTTTTAATTTTAAATTCTTATATAAATGTAATTTTTATACTCTTTCATTTAATTTATATCTAATAAACTATAATTTATTACTGATTTAAATTAAATAAAATATCCAAAGTATAAAAAAATATTTTTTATAAATATATAATTAAAAATGATAATATAATTTATAATATATTTATTAGAATTATTATAATATTTTTTAGAATATAAGAAGATAAAATTAAAATTTGGTGGAGCGTTGAATTGTTTATTTATTATTAAAAAATAATTTTATTAACATTAACTTTTAGAGTTGAGAATAAGAAGTTAATAATATTAAAATTTTATTAAAAAATATTTATTATATTTTTATAATTTTAATATAATAATTATATATTTTTTATAAAAAAAATTTATTTATAAATGTTTAAATTTAACTTTAAAGTATGAGGTTAACAAAATATTTTTAAAAAATTTTCTCCTATCACATTATTCTCATAATGCTGTATTTTTACATTTTTATTCAAGTAAAAAATGTAAAAATAGTTTCGCGACAAAAAAAATGAAGAAATCTAAATCCAAAAAAATGTTGGCAGGAGCGTTGAACGGGAGAGTTTATCTGCATTAATTTATTATCCACCTCAATGGGCAGTTAATCCAACGGTTCATGCTTCGCTTCTGAATTTTAATCGAACGGTTCTTATTGATCCACGGCTCTTAAACAAATGGTTTTGTTTCAGATACGAAAGAAAATTTTAAAATAATAATAGGGTAGCAATTTTTTAATTAATTAAAAGAAAAATTATTTTTATTTAATTTTTTTTTAAAAATTGCGTTATTTTTTACAAAGGGATTCCTCAAAGCACATGAAATGACAATAGCCGTTGAAGAAACGTCAGCAAGTGGGTCCCACTCCACAGAACATTGGTATGCTACACATTACCTTTAAATTACATCATCCATAGGTCTTCTACTTAGGGGAACATCTCTTTAAAAGAAATAAAAATGCAATTATGAGGTAATATCTTCTCTTATAAGTAAAAATATTAATACAAATGAGATTGTACCAGCTTAATATATTGAATTTTAGTTTAAGTTAACGAAATGTTAAATACTTGCATAGATAATTTTTATACTTAGGATAGTTTTATTTAATTTAAATATTATCATTTTTAATAAAAAAATATTTATAATTTGTACAAAAATAATATATAAAAATAATAAATTTTAATTACAAAATATATGTATAATTAGAATTTTGTAAAAAAAAATTGATAAATACATTCTACAATTTTAAATGAGAAAGAATGCACGAGATTTAGGATGTTCTTTTACTAGTCTTTTGAAATTTTTACAAAATTCTTTTGGTATTCATTATCATCTTTTTAATATATATATATATACTAAAGACAATCTTATTTGGATAAAATCACTGTGGATAGCAAAATTTTATTGTCATTCATTTACACTGCATTACATCATTTACTATCTTCCTGTTTTATTATTTAATGTATTTGATAATACATTTGATAATTATTTTATGTATACACCAATGGCATGTTTTACAAGTTTGTTAATATATATTACTATTTTCTTCAAAAATTGATATTATTTTGTTGTTTGTCTAAAAAAATGTAAAGTTTAAAGACATCTAATGTCCGTAAATTCTAAAAATTTTTAAGATTTTACAACTTTTGAATTATTGGATATAAATATTTTATTGAACTAACAAGATGATCTTAAGAAGAATGGGATACAAGTTTTCTAAAGTTGCCTATTCATACTTATTATTTTGACTAAACCTCGTTTCAATTCAAATGAAGTGTGTGTATAAAGTGGCCATGGGTACCTCTTAGGTAGTTTACTAATGCAACAAAATATTAAGATAAAAGGAAATTTTAAATGTTAATATTGTATTTGCATAAAAAGAGAAAAGAAATACTTATACAAATGTACAAAATCCTTTTCAAACTCTTAAAGCAATATATATTACATAAAGTACATTCACCATCTTCATTTATTAAATGCCCATAACATTCATTTCTATTAAACTCTCTAGCATACAATGATTATATCATGAAGAGATATAAATAAAAGGCATTTGTAAGAAGAAAGGATGATAAGAACGAAATGCCATTTTTTTCATTTATTTCTCTAAGTCTGTTTTGTATTAATTTTTTGCACCCTTTTAGTGATCTGAGAGATATATACAGTTGGACTCCTTTTTTGGGAAATGTTGTTCCTTTCTAATGTTCCGGGAAACAATAATCCTTGGCTTAAGTCATCTTTGTTCACATTCCTTCTTGTAAGGTTGTCTTCTTATCTGTACTTCTAAGCAAAGATGAGTGGAAAAAAGTACCTTAATTTGCAACATTTAAGCCATAACAAGCACTCATGTTATGCAACGTGGTATGGCTTAAAAGATAAGCATCAATAGCTGGCGCTGAACTGAATTAGGCATAGAGCACCAACCTTTTCCCATAAAAGGATCAATTACCACATCACTGAAAGAGCTCAAAAGAAAGGCATGCATCCCTTTCTACCAATACATCAAGAACCACACGTCATGCTATCTTCACAATTTTATTTATTAATTTTTTGTTAATGTTGTTGACGACGAATGAACAAATAAACACATGGAATACTAGTTTCTTGAAGGCATCGCTTTATAATCGTGTTTGATTGGCAAGAAACTTTAGAAAATTTTGTTTAAATTTAAATGCATAGAACACTTGGCCATTCCCACTACTATAGTGACAATGAATATGATTTACGGCTAAGCACGTGTGTTTCCACTCAAGAATTTGAGAAAAAAGATGCTAAACGTGGATTACACACAAAATGTGCAACTTGATGGTTTAATATTCATAAACACGTAAAGGCATGTTGAGCATATGTAACGATATTCTCGTAAATACGTGATTATCATGAACCATTCAATAATTTCTCTCTCTCAACACACATGTAATTTTATCAAGTTTGATTGATACAAATTAACAACTAAAACATGAGTTTGACAAGTTTCTAAAAAATAAGATAAAATTTATAAAATATGAGACAAAAATTAAGCATGTAAAAGTAATGAATTATATGTTGTATTCTACTAATACGTTATTAAGTAACACCCAGAAATTTAACTTAAAAATCATAATTCAACATATAAATTCTATAATATTTTTAACTAGATTAAAGTTTAATTTTAATATATTATCAATACTAAAAAAATATTACTATTTAATGATATATCATCTTATTATTTAATGAGTTTGACAACATATGAGATGTCAATTTCATTAAAGACTATGATAACATATTATTAAATGACAGTAAAACTATTTTTAAATAAATAATGCATTTAAAGTAAAATGTTGTATCGATTATTTTTGAAAAAAAAAATTATATAATTATTTTTAGAAGTTAGCGGCATCTTTAGTAGAAGAAAATCTCCCCATTTTATGATAGCAAGAAATTTCCGAGGCAAAATGGTATTAGTACATTTGGCCTACCAGACAAGACAATACATTAACAATACATTAAAAGCATCACATGATAAAGTGCACGCTCCTTCGACCTACAATTCTACAAATGAATTAAATTTTCAGCAAATTGTAACATTTCAAACAAGTGTTGGCATTTTTTGATCAATAACCATAACCAAGTCTATATGTCTACTCCATTCTGCCCCAAGAGCATTCAAGCATATAATGGTGCTTCTCTCTAGTTTAAAATTGAATAAAATTAATTTTGATCAAATTTATTTAAATTTTTTTTGAATGTAATTAATATACGTGAATAAATTAATTTAAACAAAATAAATAACAATTTGGTTTTAGAACATAAAAACATGTTATAGTTCATTAAGTAATATACGTTGTTAATCAACAATTAATGTGACATTATCAGGTATAGCATTTCAAATGTAGAAGTAACACAACCATTGCATAGGAACTGAAACGTTGTTTGCTCCAAGGCTATCTTTTATAACTTCTCCATTTGAGTGTGCTAGGGACGTATACCAACATTAAAACAAAAATTATTATTTAGAAGGTTATCTTCAAAAGGTCTTTTTCTTTTTCTTTTAGAAAGGTGAATAGTGGAGGAGCTTATCATTGCTGGAAGAGTGGAAAAATCTGACATGGTAAGTATAAGGTGGGGTAGCATAAGCACATTGTCTCACACCACCACCACTCAATTCCAATATGTATAAGAAAACTATCTTACACTGTTTTTGTATTTGATCCATTAGTTTATACTGTCAAAGAATCTCTCATGCCTTTGACAGCTTTGGTGGTTTGTTACCCAAACCATTGCCAGGCCCAAAAGTACAAAAATGCATATAATAATGCTGAAGAGAATGGTTTAAAGAGAAGCATCGTTTAGTCATAAAAAAACTTAAAAAATTGAAGAATGCATTGATACAAAAAGAGTAAAAGATATAGATATAAAAGCTTATGAACAAATTATGTAAAACGCTTTATAACTCTTATATGTTATTCTTAACTTATTTAAAAAAAATTGGTAAAACTTATTAAAATAAATTATTTTAACTTATTAATTAAATAAGTTGTTTATTAAAACAAACTGTACAAGATCAACTGCTTCCAATTAGTGGAGGCTGTTCTGCTTCTATTGACAGTTTGTTCCTACCTTAGATGGCAAAGCCTGAAGCCATAACCAAGTCAACGGAGACTTCCTTGTGCCACTATTTCACTGCCTGCTGGTGTAATGGAGTAATCTATAAGCCAAAATGACAAAAGGTAGCAGACAAAAGTTGATGTTTCATAATGATTAGCCGCCCAACAGGTCCATATACCACATGCATCCAACTATGCAGTTGGCAATGATGTTGATCCAATCCAGTTGCTTCTATCTAGATAGCTGGATGGTGGGTCTGTAGCACAATGACCATATTAAACTGGGGCCACCAGTTACACTCAAAATGCTTAGCAATCCAACCATTTTATATTTTTATGATGGGACAAAGATATAATACTAAAACCAAAATGAATGAGCCAAAGGAAACTTCTTCAATTTTATGAATAGTAGTACCATTTTCTTTAATGCCTATCTAACATTGTCTTGTGAACAGATAGTCATAAATATTTTTATTTTCATAATAACGAATCAGAGTATACACATGAATATGAATCCCAACTTGGGGTTGATAACAGCAGTAGAAAATTATGTAACTAAAAAAAAGGATACAACCTTCATTTTTTAAATTGAACTAGAAATAAAAATTGGCAAACTACAAAAGACCAAAAAAATAAGCTCATAATTCTATTTAATTATCAGTCTGTTATCATCTCCATCTAGTGGGCTGATGATGGTTTCTAAAACTACCATCTTCACTTTGATCAACGATCCCTCCATCTGTTCTCTTATCTAAATTTGAGTCCTTATGGTCTTGTTGATAATCATGATGAGAACGGGATGACTCTCCCCCAGTTCTGGATTCCTATAGATAAGAAAGAGAAACAAAAGTTGAAGTGAGTATTAGCTTATAGCAATGTTGAATCACATTGATTACTTCTAGTCTAGTCAAGTACAATGCAAAGTTTAAGAAAGGAAAGAACATACAGTATGGAATAACAGGTCATCTGCCTCAAGCATGTGGATCACTTGTCCCATTTTTGGCCTTTTTGTTGCATCAGGATCAACACACCGGAGAGCAATTAATAGAGCACGTTTAAGAGCCTTAGAAGATGGCATCTCAGGTAGCTTAGGATCAACTACTTCCTCAGATTTTCGATTCCCAACCATAGTCTTCAACCAATCTATCAAATTAACCTACAATTGTTCAAACATGCATAGTTAGCCCAAAAGAGAGAATATTGCATGGATATGCTTAAAACATGTTAACTGTTTCCTTTTATTGTTGATGGCTACTAACCTCTCCTTGTGGTCTACTATAATCAACAGGACTTCTCCCAGTAATTATCTCCATGATAAGTATTCCAAAGCTATAAATATCACTCTTCTCAGTCAGCATTCCAGTGCAGGCATATTCTGGTGCAACATAACTACAGAATGTGGAAAAGAATCACTATCTTATGGTGTTCAAAAATTATGATTACTTACACATTGCAATCATACAGGAACTGAAACTAACTGTAATTTGGTAAGAAAGATAGGAATATGTTTAGCTTAATCATACTAACCCAAATGTCCCCATCACTCGAGTTGTGACATAACTATTCTCAGAACACAAAAGCTTAGCAAGCCCAAAATCAGAAACCTTGGAGTTCCATTGGCGATCAAGTAGTATATTGCTTGATTTCACATCGCGGTGGACAACTTTGGGTTCAAGACCCTCATGAAGATACGCCAATCTGAAAGAATAAATGAAAAAACAGTGACGAAAACATCCATGCATCAACATGGATTCCAATGTATGCAAATTAATTACAGATATGGTACCCTCTGGCTGTTCCCAATATAATGTTCATGCGTATATTCCACGTCAGAGGGCTTACAGCTCCAACATCTCCATGCAACCATTGTTCTAGATTGCCATTGTCTACATATTCATACACAAGCATCCTGTAACACAATACCATACATCAAATCTTACATCTCATCAAACCAAACAAAATTGGTAGAATCATTTTTTTTCTCTTTTCAGTTTTTAAGAGAAGATCTCAATACCTGTAGGCCCCCTCAACACAGTAACCAAGCAACCTAACAAGATTTTTGTGTCGCACTCGACCAATTGCTTCTACCTCTACTTTAAATTCTCTCTCAGCTTGGCCCCTGAAAAGAAGTTGAACATGAAATACATATTTCCAAGGGAAAGATAAATACAAGAGCAGGACCGGGGAACCTTCACCAGGATAACAACATGAAATAATCAAATGAGAGAAAGTGACAGGAAAATCAGACAAATTACATGAGAGAGCAAAACTTCTGACAATTGAAACATTATCAATTCGTAGTAAAAGAACAAACAGATCAAAAGAAAAATGATTCCTTTCTTCAGATGAGTAACTCACTTAAAGTATATTTTCTAACGATTTCAGACAGGGATAACACAAAAAAACAGTTCAAAAATAGAAACACTAATTAAAGTTAAAGAAGAAAACACTGGCCTACGACAAAAGGCCAATATCACTGCCCAGAATACATCTGGTTTGTTGCCAAAAATCATTGAAGAATAAAAAAAAAATTTATGTCTTAATCATTTCAATTATTGAAGAGGCAATCGAATATTTACATGTGGTATTTCAAGCAAAAACTTTATTAGGATTTCCTGGGACCAAATAGAACACGACAAACGATTAAAAAAAATCATTTGCGTTTGTCCTTCCCCGGATTCACAATATCAAAAGGTTGAAAAGTAATACATGAATTTTCATCATCTGTGAACCAAGTTAAGAAAAGCCAATTCATACAAGGTTGAAATTGCATAATTATGAACACTCATCACACAACATCAATAACACTGACTCAACAGAAAAATATACCAATACACAATTCATATTTCTTGAGAGATTTCTTAAAAGCACTTCAAAATCCAAAGCATCAAACTTGCGACAAATTATAACTAATTTGTAATCACTACAACTAGACCCATGTGAAAATCAACAATAAAAGAAATTGAAAACAAATATATAAAAACATACTTGTTATTCAGGAGATTCTTAACAGCAACTTTGGTACCATCAGTGAGGAGACCTTGATAAACAATACCATAGCCACCTTCGCCAATCACATTTTCAGGACGCAACCCACCTGTGGCATCTTCAAGTTCTCTCAGAGTGTACCATCTTCCCCACCCAAGATGTGAAACTTCAGGTCCAATCCCACCAACACTAACACTCCCAAAGGACGACGTCGTTTCACACCCACTACCCACCGTTCCTTTACTCTCTTCACTTGAAACCCGATCACACTGCACCACCACCCTGTGCTCCGTCTTCCCCATGTCCACGTGGATCTCCGGCACCTTCGCCGGCGCAGGTGGCAGGAGCATGTGGGGTCCGGGAAGGTGCACAATCGTGTGGATTTCCTTTGACACATCAGGGTCTCCGGCGACCTTGTAGTCGCCTGCGCCGGAGCGCCGGCTCTGCCGGCGAGAGACGAGGCAGAGAGAGAGGAGGAAGAGAGTGAATACGATGAAAACTCCGATGAGGATTCCGATCACAACCCAGAGACGGAGACCGAAGATTGAAGTGTGCTTCGAGAGTTGCGTGTTCATGAAAGCTCCATCGAAGAGTGACATTGTTGCAGGGCGAAGAGGTTAATAGATCGCCGGTAAAAACGTAACGGAGCAAACTTTTCCGGCCAGTGAGACTCTCTCGAGAGGATCTAGAAACTGGGTCGCATTGGTTTCGCCGGAAATGTAAGAAAAGAGTGAATTTTCCGGCGAATAAGGGTCTCACGGCGAGGTTCTAGAAACTGGGTCGTGCTGGTTTGGCCGGATTCTTCAGAAAAGAGCGAACTTGTTTCCGGCGAAGGAGACTCGCCGTGAGGTTCTAGAAAGAGGGTCGCATCTGTTTCGCCGGTAAATTTTAGAAAAGAGTGTAGGGTTTTCCGGCGCTTGTTAGAAGGTGGAGATGCTATGAAGAGAGAAAAGATCAAAGTTTTGAATGAAGTTGAAGAAGAGAGAAAGAAAAGAAAATGTGGGATAGTAAGAAAGTGAGTTGAACAGAGAAAGTAGAACTATGAGAAGTGTGTGAGAGAGAGAGAGGGGTTTAGATTGGTGAGGCCAGCGAGGAGTGTTTGCATGTTGTGTTGTGTCTATGACCTGTTTTGTTTTGTTTTCTTTCTGATGCAATAATTTTCAACAGATAAGAGGAACGTTATATCCTCTTCCTAATTCCTTTTAATCATTTTTAAATTCCAATTTTTTTCCATTTATTTCTATAAATTATCTTAATTATTAAATATTTTATATTTTTAAAATAATAAATACATATGTTATTTTTTACATTTACTTTAACATATTTTTTTATCACATTCATTAGTACATATATCATTGATTTGTTTAGCTATTATTTTTAATGGATTCATTTTTTTACACACTCTTCTTTAACATCCTCCATTAAATTATTCAACATGTAAACGTGTGGACAAAGGCTCCAGCAAAATGACAAAGAAGGACAAACAAAATGTATACGAAAATGAAACACACAAGTAAAATTTAACGTTCAAATTTGTTGAATTTGGGCTCCGGCAGCGTGCCGTAACTTCGCTTGAGGTATCTACTTCTATATTATTGGTTAAAAAAAAGAAATTAAAATATACTCTTTTAGCTTTTTTTTTGTGTTCTGTGAATTTTATGTAGGTTTTCATCGAATTACTTCTATTTAATTTAAATTTAGTGAAACATATATAAAGTTCAGTCAATAATAAAAAAAATATCATAATCGTTAATACTTAATTGTAATAACATCTTTTGCTGCAATGTCTAAATGAAAATTCAAACATACAAATAAAGCAAAGAAGGCTAGTGTCTGTTTGGAGAAGGGGTGTAAACTTCGTAGCAATAGAATTAAAAAATATTAATTTTTATAAAAATTGTCTTAAATATGTGTTTCTCCATTAGAAATGAAGAAACAAAAAAGCTTTACGTATGCTCTTTATAGCTGATCAATTTAGGAAAAAAAATAAATGATATCATTGTGTTGTATGCAATTATGCATCATCACTTCATCAATCTCCTTACAACGTACTAGTCTTTAAGTTTTGCAACAATAACTGCAAATATCTGTCACATGAAATACTGGAAATTTTATTTATTATTTTGTTGTTGGGATTCATTTTGGGGGGGTAGGTGGGTAGGACATTATTCCATAACTAATAACTGTAAGCAGATTTCAACTATCTCATGTAACACAAAAATCTGTGTATTGATCCCTGGTTGGTTGACGATGATGCTTGAACTGTCTCAAGATCAAATGTTTAAGATTTATTCATAATATTTTATTTTTCCTGAGATGTCTCATAACTAAATTAATACAACCAAAAACCCAACTATTCATTAGAAAATCAATTTATCATTATAAATGTAATTTATATGCTAACAATTTTAATTCAATGGTAAATTTTATGATAAAATTATTTAATAAAAAAATACTAAATGGTAAAAAGTACTTTTAACTTATGCGTGTATTAAGGAGATACTTAAATTATAAACTTCCACAAATTATACCCTTTGAAATTACTGGAAAACGTGGCAAAATTGGTAGATAGGAAAAGGATAATCTGAGTATGACTTTGTCAATAAGAATAATACTTTTTGGGTTTTCTTTTCTGCTAAGAATGCATGATGGGATCAAGAAATTAAAGGACTCTGTGGAAGAAAACAACAAATTATTATAATACAAGGTGGGGGAAAAAGTGCACTATGATTGTAAATATTGCTCTTCTGTCACTGCAAAATAGAAAGCAGCCAAGAATCTTTAGAATCTTAATATTTTAATATAATGTGACCTGACAAAGTCACAGAAATGTACTAAAATAAAGCACTTAGACAGCAATGCACCATGCGATTTTGAAAAGCCATATTTTTTGTTGTTTTGTCTTGTAACACTTGGCCTTTCTACAAGAATATGGTCCATGAGTCTTGTTTACTCTATTTGATTACTCCCACTTATCTCTAAATTATGAGTTTGATATTGTTGGATAGAAATAAGGATTTTTAGCCGTTAATTTTTTAACAGTTGCAACTATATTATTCATATGATTAAGTGTCTCATTAAAGTGTGATGCATTGGACAGGTTGAAAATAATAGCAAAGAAAGAAAAAGATAGAGGAAGTAGAGAAGACATAAGTGGGGTAGGTCTATTTGGTTAAATTTGTGAAATACGTACATAAAAGTATAGGTTGAACTTATTAAATTGGACAGGACCTATATAGGTTGAGCTCTTTAGTTGAATGTTATTCTGAAAGGGAATTTCCAATGGGAAAAACATTTAAAATGGTACTCAACATTTTTGCTCCTTCATGAAGAAAAACATTGAACTAACTGTTCTTTTTGTTTCTTCTGTGTTGTTGGAAAGATGGAAATTCATTGGCCCTCATTTCTCTCTCCTCTCCTCAAAATGCTATTCTCTTTCTACTAAGAAGAAAAAAATTACGATGGAAGATGATGCCACATCAAGAGCTACATTACCTCCACTATCTAATTTAGTTTTTATAATTGTTTCTAAATGATGTCATATATAGGAAAACTCAAAAAAAATTAAAAGAGATCTAGTAATAAATAATATTTTTGAGAATATAATTTTTAATTAAACTCAACAATATTATGTAATTCGTAGACTTATTTTTTTATCAATGACGTTCGATGGTCATTTATTTAGCATGAAAATTGTTCGAATATATAAATAGAGTTGAACTTGGCAATTGAAGTTCTATAGCTGGAAGTAAATTATATTTACCATGCAAGTAAAACCCTTTATCACAAAAGCCTATTCTCAACCGATGCAATTCAATTGCAATAAGCGTACAATAATTAGGGTTACAGGAAGTGTTATAAACAACGATTGACGATCACTATAAATCAAGAAATTATTTACTTCACTTTTAAATTTACAAATGTATAATAGAATAAATTTCAACTTACTTCCTTTAGGTTTAAGATACTCAAATTACAATGTGTTCAATTTTAAAAAGTATACTCTCATATCTTTAAAAATACTACAGTTTAATTCGTTTTAATGGTAAACAGACCTTAATAATAATGAGTCTTCCAAAGACCTTTTTTTTCTTTTTATAACTTTCAATATCTCAAAAAATTAAATTTTGAACACCTCATTGCCAATTTTAGGACTTTGGAAAAGTGAAATAGAATTTTAACGGCCTGTTATCAGAAGCATGAGTAATTTTTTGAAATAAAAATAGGTGTGTAATTGAAACATTTATCAAAAAAATGAAAAATCTAAGTTATTCAAAAATATTACGTTTACCAAAAGCCCAACTACCTCAATAAAAAACACAACTAACGGAAGGAAAAATACTTTGAAAGGAAAAATAATCAGCAAAACAGAAGCGAGACATAAACCGGATTATAAAACATCATGAGAGAGTTTGCAACCCAGGAAAAATGGAATCTAGAGATACACGTATAAATACGTTTTGCTATGCCCCTATTTCCCTTAACTCTTGCAATATTATCTAACCCATTTGGTGTCAACTTGCATCCTAGACCAAAGCATGATCACTGAACCTAAACTACACAAACATGTCACCTTTGAGATATTACAACTACTGCAACACTCAAATCATAGCAAGTCATAGTATAACGAATTTTAGCTGCTCTTCATCTATAAGTCGTTTGCTTTAGTCTTCCTTCTTATCTGGTTCGTCTAGCGCCGCCAATCTTTCAACGAGAGGAGGATGAGAATAGTGATAAGCAGAGAACCAAGGATCTGTATTCATGGCTGACAGATTCTCCTCCTGAAGACAGCCCAGTAAATAATGAGAATACTTCATCTAACAGGAACAAAAACTACTTAAATGGCAGACGAAGAGTAAAATTATAAATACACCACAAAGCAACCATGAATCAGATGACTCATCAAAATTAATGTCGATAGAGTTGGATAAAACTCTGTCAAACCAAGAAAATAAGGCAAGCACAGATATTGAAATGTCACCTGTAGTTTCACGAGACCAGACCGTAATGCAGATGCATATCCAAGCTTCTTAGCAAAGGCATCAGCCTGTGTAGGATGATACCCATAAACAAAGTCAAAAGGAGACAATCAACGTGGAGATAAAGTCTATGCTTGGTCTTGGTTGGAGTTACAAAGGGTAGATGAAAATGGCAATGTATTTAGACAGAATATCGTAAACACAAAATACACTGCTATTTTCTGCTAATCCATATTCTTTCCAACACAGAGAGATGAAAGGATAAGCAAAGTAACCTGAAATTCAAATGATCTGCTCACAAGGTTTAGACCAAAGCTGACCAATTGCTGAAGTGGGATTACAGTATGCTGCAAATAAATCCAAGTAAAAGGATGTTAAGTGCTTTGGAAATAAAATCTACCATTGCACCATAAAAGGAATAATGGCATGGAGACTCAAAATTGGGACCTTCCGCAAACTACCTAAAAACTAAAAAGTAGGCATGTGACTAGCAATGCAACCTTTTAATGACATGTAGACCTTAAGGTAGGGCAGTACTGTGCAATAAAAGTAGATGGGTTCAATTCCCATCCCCACATTTTCTATCCATCCATTTACCCTATTCTCGTCCCCCTCCCACTTCCTCAGTCCTTAACCCTGATATTGGGGCTATGGTAGCCCTCTGCAAGACCCACATGGTGGTCCAAGGTCTCTCTACCAACAACAATAATTATAATCTTGGGAATTTGTATTCAGCATCTTCCAGCCAGATTATTATAATAATTAACACGTTAGAGGTTTTAACCCCAGAAACTTATATCATTTCCATTGAAGTATCCTACTTCTATTCCCAGTTTCTGTTAAGCTGCTCTCTATCATCTTCTACCTCATCAAACTGGGATTTCACAAATGTTGATTCATACCAATGACTAGGCTATGCCTTGGTGAGCAAGCTTAAGAGTAGATTGAATTTCATTATGGTCACAAAGGAAAAACAAACAAAAGGGGTCATCTCAACAAACATTATTTTTAGCATTAATTATTCTGAATGCTTAATTATTACATGTATCATGTTTATTGAATATATATACCATGCAGATTCCTTGAAAAAAACAATCACTATCAGATCATTAGCACAAAAAGTTGACTGTATATCCCACTCATGCTGCAGCAAGATGTACATCCAAATAAAACTAGAAAACAACAAGTTATTGCCTTTAATTTAGATGGAAAAACCATAGTTTTGAAATGTACCTGGAATATGATGAGTCCAATGAGGACTGGCTGTGTATCAAACCCGAAACTTCGAAACAGATCACTTGAATTCCGCACCAGTGTATAGCCTCCAAATTGCAGAAGTGTAAGAATCTACATTGATAGATTGAAGCATTAAGCACAACCTCAGTCAAATATTGCAATGCTTTTCCCTTTAAATATTTACTCTATATATTTGACATGATAAAAAACGCTAGGAATGCAATGTGATTGATAGAAACAGAACACACAGAGGGTAATTCACTCTCGTCTCTTACACTTCCATCCTCTCTATTTTAAGAAGTAGTACTCCCCTCCCTTGAGACAAGATTCCGTGTTAAATTTCAATCAATTCTAATGTGAACAAATCTCCTAGGACAAGTTTTCTCTCAATGACACTCAACATCACTAGTGACTAGTTTTGAACCTGTACCATCATTATGGAATTTCAAAAGATGAAATGAAGATTTTTGGGGAACTTCCAAAACAATTAATAGGGGTGCTCAAAACATCAATTTACCTTTTGAAGTCCGAATATTGATAATAAGTTCAAAATTAGCTGGGAGCAACACTGTAAGTTGCAGCCAGAAGAAAAATATTCCAAAGGGGCTCATTCATAGCTGCTCACTGGCATTAAGAGGTTAATTTTCAGTATATGTGTGTATAGTACAATTTATATTATGTGTATCTTAAAGTTCAGAACAGTGGTCACCCCACAACCTGCTACAGCATTTCTGGAATCAGCTAGTCCATGTTACTATTTGGAATTGACTACTATGCACCATATAACATTATTTAGTATTTATAGTTACATTAAATGAAATAGTAACGAGTTCTCAATGATGTTATGCTTGATGCATATTCACTTTAGTTCATGAATGCTATTAAACAAACCTGCATAGCAACAAACGTGTACACGGTATGGTTGAGCTTCCAGTGTCCCAGCTCATGGGCAATAACAGCGACAATTTCCTCATCATTTTTGCACTGCATAACGTCATTTGATGACATAAGGAGCACTCATAACTAAATCACAATTCTTGCATTGAGTAATTGACATGGATACTTGGCATAATCTATGAATATAAATCTAGTGCGAGTAAAAGATGAAAGTAAACTGAAAAGTTATGACAGATTATTTGCTTTTGTCCTAAAATTAAAAGATTGCAAAGGAGCAGTCATTAATGCAAGAAATGCCATGAAAGTTAGTTTTTCATCAAATTCATGCTATGAGCTAGTAAATATAGAGATGATCACAAAATGTTGGAATCACAGTAACTTCCTAGAAAACAACCACATATGGGATATTCATTAATTGAGAAGAATAAACTTCTAGTAAGTGATGGAACCACAAATTCAGACTTCTTGATCAATTCAAACATAATCCGTGAGTACATAGCAACCCTAACCTAGCTTTCAAAATAGGAATTTTACATTGTATATGGTATTTCATTCAATGAGAGCTAGGAATACAAAAACACGAAAAACATTTGCAAAATGCAAAGATTCAATCCAGAACTTTTTTTAAGTATAAGCAACTTGAGAAAATATAAAGGGCAACGATTTCATGCAAATAAAGCTCTTCTAAAACTCAAATTTTATAGCAACCTGAAAGACAAAATAAGTTTCAACAGTAAGTAATTCCTAACCTGTTGAATTAATGTGTCATAAAGCACAATTCTCTTGTTCTTGAAGAATCCATACATATAGGCCTGCAATATATATTTAGATAAAGTATTTAAAGGTTAAAGCAAATTTACTAACAGTAGATAAAAATATTACATATGAAAGACAACTTTTTATACTTCCTATTTCGTTTCATAAGAAATTTCAAATGAAGAAAAGTTGTGCAAATTAGAGAGATACTACAATAGTGAAAACCCACAAGCCAGGTAAACTATTACATAATAGAGTACCACAAATACAATCATATAATTCCATAAACAAAAGTATGACAAAATTTGAGTGCGTAATTCTGTTAGGATTTAATTGCAAGTATAGGATTTGAACCTCACATTGGAAGCATGAGATTCTGGAGTAGTGAGAGATTTATAAGGGCCATATAAAATCCATTGCTATTTAGCTTAGATCAATCCACCACCCATAAAAAATCTATTGAAAAGCTATATATATATATATATATATATATATAAAGCCATATCGTCCCCTTTTAAATTTAGGCTGCAAGGGAAGGACTAGTCTTCAAAACAATGTCATACTAAATTAGCCTTAACAAAAATGAGCAGTAACATTTACCAAAAAGTGAACAGTAACATAGGAAGATACCTAAGCTTCACAGCTATTGGCACAAGATTCAAAAAAGCCATTCACTGTTTAAGACCCTTTATTAATATCGGCAACAAAAAAGGTTGACCATAATAGTTTATTACATATTAGCCAACATAGATAAATCTGGGACCGTGAGCACAAATAACTGCTTGAGTGCTATAATCATCCCAAGGGATTTAAAAAAGGACAGTTACATCTTTTATTAGCATCTAGGCCAAGAAAAGAAAACAAGCAAAATATGTTTGAGATTAAAGTGAATATGCATCATAGCATGGGGGAGACTCTATTGGATATTATTTTATAGGTGTTTGATATTCCTTACATTGCTGTGACTTGATCTTGTGGATCCATCAACAACAAACAACTTCCGTAACGGAAAGTTGAGGGATGAAGCAAGTTTCTCGATTTTCTCCCTGAGTTGACCATCTGGAAGCTAGTTACCAGAATATCATGAAGGCAAAGATAAAGAATTAAAGTGAAACTCAAAAAATAATATGAAATAAAATAAAGGAAAAATTACACTAAAGCTCCCTTAAATTTGCACTAATAGTAATTACAACTACACTCACTTCAAAAATTACCCCCAGCTCTGTTAATTTATTAATTATGAATACAGATTTAACCCTGAAGATATCAGTCTGTTTAAAGCACTAATGGCACATGACAAACTCATGACGTTTAATTTTTTCTGGTTATTTAAAATTAACATGGAGCAAAAGACTATTGTGCCCTTCCTCTTGGATGCTTCTCTCAAAACCAAGATAACCTCTTCCTCATCCAAGCCATGCTCTAAATCCACCCCTCCCTACACCTCTGCCACCTTGACCTCTTAACAAAACCTCCTTGCCAGCCCCATCCCCAACATAGGAGAGTCTGAGTGTAATTAGAGCTAACCTAAGTAGAGTTCAATGTAATTATCCCAAAATTAAAATAAACAAGTACTGCGCATGCATAATTGTTTTCTAAAAGATTGAGTCTGGAAATTCTTACTGGAGTGAACTTATTGAAGAGTGGAGCTATTAGTATTGGATAAAGAGTCATCATCACAATAGAAAGACCAAATGTAAATGCCCAAAGATAGATGGCCAGATATGGACCTCCTTTCTGCAAAAATTAAAATGAACATTAAAACAGAAAACAAGGACTTCATCTGTCCATCATGATCGATAAAATGACAATAAGAACATATAGCATAGAGTAAGTATCACAGCCAAAATAACTCTAAATCAAGAACAGCTAGAAAAGCCAAATATCAAGCTAAGTTTTCAAGTAACAATTATTTTCAATAGCACAAGATTTTACCTGTACTATTACAATGATTGCAGCCACAATGGGTGGACCAATTATTACTGCCAGGAAAATTCCTTTAATCATGTCCCTAAAGAATAACCATGGTGTTTGCTGCACAATAGATGATAAAAATGGTAAGGATACAAACATATATGAATCTTACAACAGATAAACTTATATCAACATCAGCAAAAGGAGATGTCAAATCAATCTTAAAAGGTGTAGACTGAAAACATAGATGAAATAATAGATAGATGATTGAATTTGAGGGAACAATATGAACCTTATTAAAACCATGACGGGCCTCAATCACAAAAGTTGAGTACAGAGAAAAAGGCAAATCAGTTATCTGCACAGAAGGTACAAGTGCACAACAGATTACATTAAAATATAGATGATAAGTTTGATAATTCAAATGACAGTTATCAGAAGCACCAAAAAGTTAGTATACCATGATCGACCAAACCCAAAAAGTAATAAAAAGAAAATATTTTTCAACAAATAATGCTTCAGCACAGGATATCAAATCTAGAATAATGAATAACAATTTAACAAAGCATCCAAGTTAGTCATAGTGCAGATGAACATGGAGCAGAACTGGAAGTCTCAATCATGCATAATATACCCAAAAATTACTTTATTCCATAGAAATAAAAAAAAATGTTAAAAGAATACCTGTGACCAAATCATCAAACCGGCTAAAAAGGCAAGAGTATGCAGTATTTCATTTTCTGCATCGAGACCAACTACTGTCACAAAATCTCCTGATTTCTGCAATCAATAGACATTAAATAGCAATTTTACAATTGCAAAGAAGGGTTGTACATCATAACCACTAAACCAAATTCTCACCTTCCAAAACCAGGGCAATACCCCAAAGTACAAAATTGTAGAGTCTGTCACTATTGTCACAAACTCATGAACAAAATGGAAGTGGCTGAACAAAGTGAAGAAAATAGTCATTTGAAAGAATGTTAACAAGACACCACAACAGAAATTTGCAATTACGAAAAAAAATTTTCCAGAAGCAAAATTAAGTATAAAATGCCATCATCCAATGAAAGAAATTCACATGCAACAGAAGAACAAACCTTTTATCGAGACTATAGGCTCTAGATTTCTCAAATTTCTCTTGGCTAATAACTCCTTCTAGAGTCCTTGGAAGAGTAGGAAGTTTAAGGGCAGCATGTTGTCGCACATCCAAGTAAGTCTCAAATATGTACATTAATATCATAAACCCTGAAAATAGATTAGAACTTAGAAGACAACATGAACAGTTAAATCCTATATTTATTTTCAATTTTTCAGGGGCTAAGCAGTGGAACACAACCAGAAGAGTACATGAAAACAACATTGGACATTCAAAAACAGGTCAAATCTAATGATAGAACAAAGATAAAATCAGGGAGAATAGTGGTGTAAGTAGGGACTACCCCAATTGGTTGTAGGATCTAGTGAATCTCAGCAACAGTGAGTATTGATATGCATCAGGATTTGGGTTTGAGATTTGAGCAGCTACTCCTTGTAATATTCATTTTATTGGTTTCACTTTCGCCTGTGGCTCAAGGCCTATAGTTGCGATATATAGATCAAACTACATTAAGTTTCGTGTCTATTTCTTCTCCCTAGTTTATATTAGTGCACTTAGTCACAGCAGTTTATTACTTCAATAACATGCCAAAAGTTTCCACAAGAAAACAGCTGCATAACATTATGAAGCGCCGCCAAACATTTTCCATTACTTCATTCGATTCAACATACTCGTGAAGTTGTTCATATTACCAAACACAACATTCCATTGCGGCAAACCAACTACGGTTTAATAAACATCCCAGTAAAGAATCAATGCCAGATCAAGCAACTACAAACCTAGGTTAATTGTCATGACGATATACAGAAAAACTAACAAACCTAGCTCAATGGCAATGCTAGTGCAAGTAAAAGGGGTAAAATCCTCAAAATCTTCCCATGAATATTGAATAACCACATCACGGCAATCCAACAAAAGGGCCAAATTTCACAATGAACATAAAACTCAGAATCTAGCAAAGTTATAAGAAACCCAAATTCCTAGGAGAAAAAAGAAAGAAACTTCACAAACAATAACATGACCCAGTAGCTGAATGAAATGATTTCAGAGTGTGGAAAAAGAGAGATTAAAAATAATGCATAAGGATTAGGGAGCAATAGAGAGAGAGAAGAAGGAGCTCACCGACAACAGCTTCCATGTAGGGAAACGCCATGGCTGAAACAGACGGTGATGTAGCCAACAACAAAAGAAGAGTGAGAAATTGGAAATGGGAGTGAGATTATATATATATATATATATACCAATATTGGATATTGAATTTAGGAATCTGGGTCCCCAATGTTTAGGACTCAAAAAACTTGCGTGTTAATTAAGTTTAAAGATTTTTTAAAATACTCATAAAAAAAATGTTATTAAAAGATATTTTATTTGTTAAGTTTTTAACTAATATTTTTACCAAGACTTATATTTTGTCATTAAATTAATAATTTTAAAATGTGAAGTGTTGTTATATCAATTTTAAAAATAATTAAATTTAATTTTTTTTAAAAAAATAGAATTCTTATGTTCCAGCATTTATATCGTCGTTTTAGTTATGCAAATGAATATAGAGACTACTTTAAAATTTTAAATAATTAATTTAATTTTAAAATATTTAAAAGATTGATATTATAACACATTCATATGTTGAGTAATTAATTTGATAATAAAAAGTTTTAAAACTTTTTTGGATGGCTAAAACATGGGGGAAAGAGGACATTTCTCTTTTCTATTTTTGTTTATTTTAATGTTTAAATAATTTTTAAAATAATTAAAAAAACGTTACATTAAACCTTTTTAAAAAGAAAATTATTAGATTAAATTTATTATTATTATAACAATATATCTTCCAATTTGCTTATTTATTTTTACTTTCTTTTTTACTTATCCCAATGAATTTTTATCCCTTCCTTCTTTTTTATTTTATCCATCAATAGCAGATTTTTTCTTTTTGTGTCTTGTTTCCCTTATAAGACCTTAAAACCATTATTTGGAAAAAGCAACAAAAGTCAAACTTTGCCTTAATGCTTTTCACATAGAAAACCAAACAAGCACCAAAATAATTGTCTGCTAAACGAAATAATTAGGAAATAAATAGAAATCAATAAGCAAGCACGATCTGCATGACCACAATACAACCTTTTTGATGACATAGTTTATGGCACATCAATACCTCTTACAAAAAGAATCAATAATATTACATCTGAATGAAACAAGGTATACAGCATTTTCTCTTCTGGTCCCAGCCTTATTTCCTTTAACCTATGACTTTGCATCAAAACTATGTTACTTCCTTCCTTTTCCCTTTGATTTTGAATCAAAATGATGAGCCCTTAGCTTCTTTTTCCGAACCGTGGTGGCAGGACCACCTCCCTCTCTGAAGGGCATGCCCATAAGAACCAATAATTTCTGTGCTTCTTGATCAGTATTAGCCGTTGTCACGATGCAGACATCCATTCCCCTAGGCTTACCAACCACATCAGCTCTGATCTCTGGGAACACACCTTGGTCCTTGATGCCAATGCAGTAATTCCCATGCCCATCAAAGCTGTTGGGATTCACACCTTGGAAATCTCTTGTCCTAGGAAGTCCCAAGTTGATAACACGGTCTAAGAATGAGTACATCAACTGTCAAAAATCAAACAAAAGGTATTAGATTTTGGCTACATAAAAACACTGGTAGTTTTGGTTCAATTTATGTGGTTCTTAGACTGTCTGTACCAGGTGGAATATGTCATTGTTAGAATATCTGCTTACTGAAATGTAGAATATTAGAATTTGATACTATGGAGAACTGTAATGTACTCAAAATTTTTAAATAAAGTTCAAACAAATATCCAATTGACATATGTTGAAACATATCATCAAATCTTTTGAAATCACAGAAAAATATCATCAAAGCTGTGCCATTTAGTAAAATCCTGGTGAGAGCACACTTTATTAAAGTGACATAAAAAACTCAACACAAATGGTTTGTATAGCATATCCAGAGGAAAACAACTTTAACCCCCATAAAACATACAGATTAGACAAAAGAAAAAAGGCAAAATCTACTTTAACTTTGGGGTTCTGAAGACCAAGTTCAACATAACTGAGAATAATAATACCCTTTGTTTTTGGTAGGTGGAGAATAATGTTTTCTAAGTAATATTTTCAGTTAAAAGATAATGTCTGATTGATCGAAAGCTGTATGTTATGTCAACAGAGAACATTGCCAATTTGCAACATGAAAGCATATATTCCAAACCTAAATAGCAACTATGGTCTAGGTTACTTTTTAATCACAAGTATGGAATCCGCACATTTGCAAAAGATTATTTAACTTCTCAAGCTCTATTTTGACCACCACAAATTCATTACCAAACTACTAACTTACCAGATCAAACGAATATGCCCTCATAAAGAAATGAAATCCTTTCATAATCACATGATCCCCCATTGAACTATATTACAATACTTATACTTCACTGTTCATTGCACCCCTCTTTCTCTTACGGGACATCAGAATGCTACCAAAAGATCCTAAGCTGAACATAACGGACAAGTTAACAAATGGTAGCAACATGTTTCAGTGTAGACTCCCAGCAGTGCATCAGCAATAATCAAAGTTCCTTGTAACAAGACATTTAATTAACTCGACCAGCAAAGCAATCACACTATCAAGAAAATAAGGACATAACATAGATGCAGTTCCTTAGGTAATTTTAGTGTTGTTTTTCAATCAAAAATAGATTGTCAATTTGGTAACCCACATGGCAGTGGCACAGGTTACCAAAGTGAAATTCAATTTTAATTTGAGAAAGCACCGATGGAACCACACTTAAATTTTGTCCAAATAATAAATCCATGTACCAATGCATCAGCTAATTATCAGAAGCCAACACACCATGATACTCATATTGTTCTAAATATCATCTCCAACATGAAAACATCTACAGTTGTCACAGCAAAAGCACAAAAAATTTTAGCAAACCATCACATGCCAATTAAACATATTCATTAGCCAATATCTATTGTATATTTACATGCTCACATTTCCTCTAAGTGTAACAGCAATCCCAAGCGGTTGACCTTCCCTGATCTTAAAGGTGGCAAGAGAAGCTCTGGCTCGAGTCTTAACAGGTCTCTGCCCTGTGATCAGTGCTAAATCATTTATTGCTGCTTCCAAACCCTTTGCATTTTGTGCAGCATCTCCGATACCACAGTTAACCACAATCTTCTCAATTTTAGGCACCTGAAACGAGGGAAGATAAAACCCAACATTGCAAAAATTGAAGCAAAACCAAATGATCATGCCTTCAGTTCATCTTCCACACTACCAAAAAAACTTATCATGCCTCAACCTCGTTTCCCAACTATATGATACAAAGTTGAAAAAACCCATTAAACCCAAACCAAAAAAATAAAATAAAATAACAAAATATAAGAAACTTCAATAGAGAAACCCCATAAAACCAAATCAACCAAACCCGCCACCGTCAGATTTCCCCCACCATATGATACCAAAGTTTAAAAACCCCGTCGACCCAAAACCAAAAAAGATTCAATCTTTCACTGTCAAAGAATCTTAACAACACAAATAGCGCAAAAAATTGACAATTTCACAAAACCTGGAGTTTGTTGCTGTAAGAAAACTCTTCCATGAGCAAGGGAACAATTTTCTCATTGTAAGTTGTTTTGAGCCTATTGACCTTCTCTGACTCAGACTTCTCCACAAGCACAATCCCAGAAGCAGAGGCTCTCACTGACACCAGTGCACTTCCATGTCTGTTTCCATGAGTGAACAGTGAAGAAGAAGAAGAAGATTGAAAGGGACGAAATTGAGCCAGAAATGAGGAGCCGGATGAGTGTAGAAGCGAAGGAGCTGTGGCCATGTTGATTGCCCAGTGCTCACACTCTGAGCTGATATGGATAGCGTTGTTTGGAACCAAAGAGAAAATGGGTTTAGAGTGCAGTGTTGTTAAGTGCCCCTTATGTTTATTCTTATTTACAAGTTTAGTAACCATCCAAAAGGTAAGTGGATTTTGTGCTTACTGGGTTTGGCTAATGGTAAATGGATCTTTTTCGTTGAACTTCAAACGCTAAAAATTATTGACATGAATCTATCTTATTTATTCACAAATTTAACATATAGTTTTATATTTTTTATGAAACAAATTATATATTTTTAATAATTGTGATTTTATTCAGTAAAAAATAAACTATATATTTGATTTCAATTTTAAAAATAATTTTCTATTATTAAAAATATATATATAATACAAATTTGTATTGTATTTAAAAAACAAAAAAATAAATCAAATGTACTTTAAATATGAAAAAAAAAAAAAAAAAACATTCACATTGGCGTTTGTAATGTTGTTCTGTTCCTTTTAGACTTACAAACAGGAAAATATATTTTCTTGACAGGCCAATAGATAAAGGAGTAAAAAAAGGTAAAATAATCGTATTCTATCATGCTAGTTAAATAATATTAAATAAAAAAAGTAGTTTATTCTCTTATTATATTCGCCAAACTTAGTCTTATATGTTCAATTAAAACATCAAATATACAAAAATAAATCTCAAAAAATGACAACAACAACACTTATATGGTCTTCACAAGACAACCCAGCAAATATCATTCATTACTTATAACTTCTCAAACCATTAAAGATGAACTTTGCATCTTAGTGAGAAAATAATTTTAAAAAATTTAAAGAAATTCGTGAAATTAAATTACAAAAAGCAGGTCTTGAAAGACTTTACAATCCTTTAGAATTGGAGCTAAACTCCACTTTAACATTTTTAAAATCACTAACTCACACAGTAATATATTATACATATACAAACAGAACATAGTTTTAGGCGATGTTTTAGATAACTTGGAAGTTATTAATTAGAATCCTCACTTGGAAAGTTTTCATTTATATGTTAAAGATGCTTCTCCTTTCTATTTGGAGCTGTCTTTCTTAGCAGGATTATTAAGTCTAGAACCCTAACTTTAAAAGTAACTATTTTTGTACTAGACATACTTTCCTCTCATTAAGGAGATATATAAAAATCAATGTAGAGGGTTGTTCATTGTAAGTAGACAATCATATTGATAACCCCAAGTTTAGTTAGTGCACGGCTTTTTTTTACTAAATTTGTGATCCATTGACTATTATGAGACTAACTATGAGTAAAATTAGTAAGAAAACAATTATATGTAAATAAATAAAATTAAATTGTGTTTGATGAAAATTAGTCATGTGATTTACCAACATGAATATGAAAAAATATTTTTTTCAATTCATGCATATGTAATTACAACTAGGAGAAATTTTATATCTTTACAAATTAGTCATATCACTTTGTCATTAAAGAGGCCTAAAATATGTTAACATAATGTTATTTCCAACTATTTTTTAGCATAACATTCTTTTTTTTTTCACTATCAAGACTTGTCATCTTACATTTTTATAAGCTTCTCACAAAAAGGTAAAATTAATATTGCCTTGCCATCAATTCCTTAATTTATTTAATCAATTAAAATATTTTTTTTATTTTTTATTTTTTTTACAGGTGAATAAAATCACACATATCATTAGGTTGAATATTAAAAAAAAAAGTTAACAAAATCCTTAAATATTTTCCTTTAGCTCGTATCATCACAATATTTGTATGCATTTTTTTTTTCATGTCTCACTCTAAAATAAAGAAAAGTAAAGATTTCAAACATCAAATTAAATAAATTTAGAGAAACGCGATTAATAAGAGAAGGGGAAAAAAACCACATCTTTTGCAACTTATGATTTATTTGAATATGTTTCTGTTTTTTTATTTTAAAATTATATTTTATAAAAAAAAATTTATAAATAAATAAATAAAATCTCATTTGACAAATCTATTATTAAAATGCTTTGATGTTATAAGTTAACTTCATACAAACCAATGTATTTACAACAACTAATTACTCTTTATTTTGCATTTTTATATGAAGCAGGTTAAATTCTTTTAGTCTTTTTTTAAAAGTGTTTTGTAGTTTTTATGAAACTTTATGTTTTTATTATTTGTTTTTAATAAATGGAAATGGTGAAAACTTATATTAAAATTGAAGAATGATAAATGTTGATAGTGGAATTATAATAAATAGCATTAAATACGGAAAAAAATAACTGCTATAATATTTTTTTCAAATTTATGAGACATAACTAGCTTAAGTATTTTTATTGATAAGTGTAACTTAATAAAAATGTTTTATAAAAGGACAAGAGGAGTAATTGACACAATATTCCTATTCCATTTCTAGGCTTTTATACTAACCAACTATCATATAATTTCAATAAATTTGATTTATTTATTTATTATAATTTGCATATATTAATGACATTAAACTTATAAAATAAAAGTTATCATTAATGATGAAAATAGACTAACTTAGTTTTAAATTATTAATATTTTTAATGATTTAAAAATTTATATATTTTTTAAATCTTTCTTTATTTAATATAATACTATAAATATATTATGATATATATATATATATACATTTTATTTCTATATTATTATAAACTAATAAGTCTTAAATAAGTCAATTTATTAAATTTAATATTTTTAAAACACGAATATAATATATTTAATTAATTAAATATTTTAAAAAACTAAAACTTAATCTATTATTTAAATAAATTAGATCAGACTGAACTTTAAAAAGTCAAATCACAGTCTTTATCAAACTTAACCTACTTCATAAATTCATAGTAAAATAATAATATTTTAAACTTATTTAATATATAAGATAAAAAAAATACAAGAGATAAGAATTAAATAAGAATAAAATAAATATATGATATATTATTATCTTATTTTATGTATATTAAAATAATAATTAAACATAATGTGCTATAATATTCCTTATATTTTCAACTTAGACCATGTAATCAAACATGCCAAAAACATATGTATAACATGCACACTAATGAATAAAAAATATATAAAATGTAAATATTTTAATAATTGTAGTAGTATTAAATTTAACTTTAATATTTGTAATTTAAAAATACTCATTACAATTTATGTAAGTATCTTTATATCATTAAATAATTAAAACACACAATAGCTATATTTTTAAAATTGGTTATCATAAAAAATTAATATTATTTTATTGATATAATAGTTTTAAATTAAATAGTATTATAATTTATTTTCAATTAATTACAGTATCGATACATTCTGATTAAATTATTGGTAAAAATATTTTATAGCTAATCATTTTTGCACATTAAATGTATTAAATTAAAAAAAATCAAAATATTAATATATTAATATAAATAAAATTTATTTTAACATTATCTTATGTTAAATTTGTTTTTTAGAAATAGACTTAGCTACACTTTGGTCTCTATTGCTATTTTGGTTCTCATTATTTTAAGTATTTACATTTAATCTATTTAAATTTTTAAATGTACAATTTTGGTCTCTTTAGTTTAATTTGTTTAGCTTTTTAAATATATAATTTTATTCTCCTTAGTTTTAATTTTCCATATTTAATTTCTTTAATTTTTCAAATGTTCAAATAAGTTTTTTTTATTTCAAAATTTAATCCAATAATTAATAAAAAATACAATTAAGATATACTATTTAATTGATTTATACAAATAAAAAATAAAATATTTAAATAAAAATATAAAATAAAATATATTAAATATAATAAAAATAGTAATAAAAAATTTAATTTAAACATTTTAAAAAAATTAAAGAGATTAAATGTGAAAGATTAAAATTAAGGATAACAAAATTGCACCTTTAAAAAATTAGATGAATTACGTATGAACAGTTAAAATTAGAGAAATTAAAAATGTACTTATTAAAAACTTAAGATATTAAATGTGGACAATTAAAATAATAATACTAAAATTGCATATTAAAAAAGTAAATGAACTAAATACAAACAATTAAAATTAAAAAATTAAAATCACATTTATATTAAAGTATAAAAATCAAAAGTACAATTAAATCATAAATGTTAAACAATTTAAATATTAGTTAACATTTGTTTTATTTAAATATACACAAAATCGTTAATTGAGTAAGACTTAAGATTGATTTTTAAAAAAATTAAAAAGAAGAATGTTAAGAATATATTATTTAACATTTTAAACATATTTTTGTTTATTAGTTAAAATTATTAAAACATAAAATTATTTAAAAATTTATTAAATTAAAATTAAAATATGTATTTTTAAAATTTTAATAAATTTTAGTCCAGTAACAATACATTAAAATATTTATTAGATATTATTTTGGTAATATTTTAATAAAAAATAATTTCTGAGATTATTTTAAATAATTATAGCAAAGTAGTAAATTTAAATAACTCCAGTAAAAAATATCTGTGTTTTTGTAAAAAATAAAATCTAAACCACATTTTTTTATGTGAGATTAAGACACTAAATCTAATTATTACTAATTTATTTATCACTGTAAAAAAAAAAATGCATTCCCATCCAATAGGTTGCGATAGATAATAATAATAACACCACAATAGCAACAATCTCTCTCTTCAAATCTCTTCTCTTCTCGCACACTTCCTCTTCTTCCCTCGCGATCCATCACTGCATAATCATCTCGAGATTTCGATTTTCCACCGTTTCGGTGTTCGATTCTCTCTATAATCTTCGATCCATATAGGTCCTCTGTAAAAATAAAAAACCCTAGTTTTTTTTTTTTCTTCCTTCCCCCCCCCCCCCCCCCCCCCCCCCTTTTTTCCCCATGGCGGAGCTTTAGATTAGGCACAAACCCTTCAATGATTCTGGTTCCCTTTTGTTTTCCTAGGAGCAAAATTTCATGGGTATTGCACAAGTTTTTGAATTGAATCTCTTTTTCCCGTGAATCTGCGTTCTAATTTTGGTCAAGGGGCGATGAAGTGTATATATCTATCTACACGTCTCTTTCACGAATTTCATTGAAGAGGAGAGTGGTTTTGAACTTTTTAGGTGATGGGTGTCGCGGGTTTTGCACAAAGGAGGAAGCTTGGGAGGGTTTTTGAGGGTGGGTATTGTTGATTGAGCTGGATCGGTGAGTGGAATTGCTGGTGCATATTGCTTTTAGGTTCTGTGTTTTATTGGTTTTGAAGATTTCCGTATCATGGTTTTTAGAAGTTGGTGATGGATAGGGTGGGATTGGTCTTGTGCTTGCACTAGAATAATAGTAATTGGCCCTTTTTATTTTTATTTTTTGGCTTTGTTTGGTGTTGGAAGGAAAAGGGTAATTTGGCTATAGTTCTTATGAGTGTGAGCTTGTGCTGTGAATTGTATAAGACTACTGCTCTTTGTGGTTGATACTTTACATTTTTCATCGGTTGGAAATATTTGGCATTGTTCATCAACTTTGGTCCACATAATTCTTTGGTGGAGAGAACAAAATGAGCTTAGAAAATGAAGATCAGAGCTTGTTGGATCAGGAAACTGATCAAGGATTACAAAAGTAACCTTTCTTCCTTGATTGGCTTTTTGTTAGTTGTAATTGTTTTTCCGCAAAATCAGAACATGATACATGTTGTAAAACTTATCTGCTGGTTGTGGTTCAGGAAGTTAAAAATTTCGTACACGAGGGAATTTTTATTATCGTTAAGCGGATTGGATATATGCAGAGAGTTGCCTAGTGGATTTGATCGATCACTTTTAAGGTAAAATTTGTTATGCTGCATCATCTGTTTCTGCCTGATATGATGAATGCACTAATGCTGGAAAGACACATTTTACTTTTTCATCATATCGCATATTTTCTCAATTTGTGCTCTTCCATTATTGTGTTATGCGTTGCTTTTGTTGATGATCTTGTCCTTTATCTATTTATTTATTTTTTGGAAAACAGTGAATTTGAAGATGCTTCTCAAGAACGACAGAGAAGTACAGGTGGTTTGTCAATGCATAGTTTTAGACGTAATGAATATGGTTCATCCCCTCCCACCAGAGGAGATAGCTTTTCGCGAGGAATTCATGGAAAATGGGAAACTCGTTCTTCTGGGCGGTCTGATAGAGACAGTGATTCTCAATCTGAATGGGATTCAGGTTTTTACAGTTGATCAGCGAGAATATTCCTGTTTTTTAAGTGAAAGAATCCTTAATCCGCCCTACTAATCACAACTGTTTGGACTGATATAGGATTCTTCTCTACTTCTATCTCTTATTGATGGGTGGAGTAGTAGTTACCATAAAGTGTTATTTTGATCTGTTTCATTGTTCATGGCAATTTTCAGATTCTGGAAAACATTTTGGCAATCAATCTCGTAGATCTTGGCAAGGTCCTGAGCATGATGGGCTTCTAGGTAGTGGTTCGTTTCCAAGGCCCTCTGGGTATGCGCCTGGGTTGTCTGCTCCGAAGTTTCGAGCTAATGACAACTACCAGCTATATCGGTCTAATGAACCTTACCATCCTCCTCGCCCTTATAAGGTGAGTTTTAGTTGTTATATCTCAGGTAGCTGTATGCTTTGCTACAATGCAGCACTGATTACTTTCAACAAGTTTTAATTCTCAAGTATGGTTTTCATTTGATGTGTGACACCATGGAAACTATTGAAATCATATTTAATTTGATTAACTTAAATGTCTGGTGTTCTTTTTTGGCTTTGGATGCTTTCCAGGCCCCTCATTCACGTAGGGAGACTAATGACTCATATAATGATGAAACATTTGGTTCTTTGGAGTGTACAAGTGAAGACAGGGCAGAAGAGGAAAGAAAAAGAAGAGGTAACTGTTCTTTTCTTGAAGATATTGAATTATGCAGTATTTGTCCTCATTACTTATGGCTTCAGAAGTCCTGTTTACATTTGTAATTTGAGTCTTGTCCAGTAAATTTTAGATTAAATTGATGATGACTTTCTTGCCAGCTTCTTTTGAATTGATGAGAAAGGAACAACATAAAGCTTTCCAAGAAAAGCAGAAGTTGAGCCTGGACAAGAATAAAGACGAATTTGACATAACTTCACTTATTGACGATGATGAGAAAAGGCTAGTTAATAGAAGCAACGAGTCTGTGGAGCCTCCTGTTTCTCTGGCAGCTTTAAGCAATGACGAGAAATCTTCTTCCCTTTCACATACTCCTTCAGCGAGACCACTTGTACCCCCTGGTTTTGCAAGTACGAAGTTGGAAAGAAATCTGGTGACCAAAACATCCTCCAACACTCATGCAACAGAGGTAACTGGTTTACATTTTTTAATCCACATGAGTTGTGACCTTTTGTAGTTTAGTTATTCTTAAATGCTGTCATTTTTCAATGTAAAACTAAAATATTAATTGTTTGACCTATTGAATTTGGCATTCAACTTGGTTTTACTTCTAAATTGCAATTTTTTTTATAGTTTCTTATGAATTTATCTCTTCATGGAGGGGATTTTAGGTGTTAATGATCAATGTTATGATAGAAAGGCTGTAAGTTAGAAAGGTGGTATTTCTTGTTTGAGACCTAAGTCCGTAGTGTGTGATGTTTTGATGTGGGAATCATAAATGAAACTTTGTAGTTTAATTCACCATAACTATTTTCTTCAATGCCAGGAGGTTCAAGACACATCAAATCTTAGATTCTGTCATTGCATCTAAGTACATGTTTGGAATGCTTGTTTTCCGGAGAAATAATTTTTTTTAATAGTTCTCTCATGAAGTTGGTAAAAATAAGTGATTATTTTCTCAAAATATGTTTCATCAAACACACACTAATTTTGCTTTTGATGGTATCTTGTTTGAATGTTGGTTTGATGTTAAATGATGAGTTAAAAAATTTCAGGAGATTTCATGGTTTTTATAGATCAACCTCCAATCAAGGAAGAGTGCAAAGGAGTAAGGAAGGAGATGGTTAATGGCACTGACCTGCAATTTAACTGATTGTCAGTGATAAGTGATAACATTGCATGAGAGGGGGATACTAGAGACTAGATCTTGATATACCATTTAAAACAACCTTCTGCTGAAATGTTTAATTTACAAGTACCAAACTCCAATATCCACATTCAAACATTGTATAACAGAATGGTCTATTTTTAGACCTCTACCTTAATTGGATTAGGATTGTGCCTCTTCTTTTCTTATGTATGCTGAATCAATAGTAAGGAGGATATTGTAGGATTTTGCCGCATTTCTTACTTGCAGACTTACTTCTTCTCTCGAAGACAGAAAGTCTAGAAATCGAGGACTTAGTTTAAAATGAGAAGAAAAGCCTAATATCTTCCTAGATTTTCACTGAATTTCCTCAAAAACCATGTATTGTTATTTATTCAACTTAGCATGTGGACACCAGTTGACCTGTAGTTCATTTGTTTGCTATGTCATTTTAAAACTGATAAATGAAGTGTACTTTATTAGTTTATTAATATATGCTGTTATTCTTGGCTCTTCTTTAATATATCTTTGATTGTTCTGATGCTTACCTAGGTTGGACAACCTGTGCCCAGTGATACCAGAGGTAACCATGTATTCAGTATAAATTCTGAAAATAAAGAAGGAAAATTATTAACCCAGCAAGTGGATAAGGATCAGCAGAATCTTCAAAGTACGAATCTAAATGTTTCAATTAACCATGAGAAAGAAAACATTTTGAATTTATCATCAGTTTTGGATATTCCTAACATTAACATAGGAATGGGTGATCAACTGAGGAAGAGATCTGCTCTTTCAGAAGCCTTGGAAGCATCAGATGACAACGAGTTTATTCAACTGAATGCTGAAGTAAAAGGAAAGGAGGCCATGGGAGATTTTAATCCAGAGAATTCCAATTTAAATTCTATCCTGTTTAAGCTTTTTGGTAATGCTTCAGCTCTAGACAGTGACAAATCAACTAGTATTGTTGAGGTAATTGTGGAAAATATTGGAATTTCCTTTAAGTAATGTCAAGAAAGTATTAACTGAACTTATTATATGCATTCAACTATGCTTCATGTGCTTGGGGTTATAAACATTTGAGTAACCACAACTGGCAGATATCTTTGTGGGAATGGATACTCAATCCTACTTGGCTAGATATATTGTGATTTGGACTAATGTTTTGTTTTCTGCTTTTGTGAATTTGTTCTACATTATTATGGATTTGACTATTGATGCTCTTGCTCTTATAGCAGCCTGATAATAAAGCAGATGAGACATGGAGTCCACATGCCTTCCAATCTTCCAAGTTTGCTCATTGGTTTGTTGAAGAAGGTATACTTACAAAAATGCTTTAGTGCTTTCAAATTTCAATATTTTTATGCTTTTCAAGTTGTACATTGTGACTTAATGTTAACTTATTTTGTTCATTCCATCTTCACCTAACTGCAGAAAAGAAGCCAATGGATGACTTGGCACATAGGCCAAATGACTTGCTCTCACTTATTGTTGGTGGTGAAAAAGGGGGGTCGCAGGTTTCTAATGTAGAAACGACCCAGCATATTGCATCTAATTTTAATTTCCACAATCCTGAACCAGCTGATGAGCATATGACATCAAATGCCGCACATACCACTATTGACAACTCTGAGCAACTGTACAAGAGTGATAAACCTGAGGTTTTATCAGCGTTTCTTACATGTGAAGATCTAGAACAGTCAATTCTGTCACAAGTTAGCGACAATGGTTCATCATGTCAGCAGCCCATACAGGACAAAGATTTTGATGCAAAAGCTGAACAGTCAACTTCAATTGATAATCACGCATCCCAACACCTGCTTTCCTTGTTACAGAAAGGAACCTTGCATAAAGATATGGAACTATCCTCTATTCTAGATTCTACAGACAAGGTGCATGACTCAGAAGGAGTCACTACTGGCAATGTTCTTGATAATCCTGGAGAAGCAAATGCAGATGTTTCCAATTCATCAAAGACCTTGACACTGGAAACACTTTTTGGGTCAGCTTTTATGAAGGAGCTGCAGTCAGTTGGAGCACCCCTTTCTGTTCAAAGGGGTTCAGTTGGATCTGCTGGGGCTGATGTTTCAGAGTCTCTTTTGTTTCCTTTCCCTACCTCAGACAATGCTCACCCTCCTACGGGTGAACTTACACTGAACAGGCATGGAAGCGGTGTCCTGCCATCAGAAAAACCAAATCAACCCAAATCTAATAGATTTGAAGAACAGTGGTTGGGCTATGGTGATTCTCAGGGAGATGTTAATTCATCGTTACTTCAGAGTGAAATTTCCAAGGCTAGTGGTTTCAATGGCCCTCGTGATATTCACTTCCCAGAAGAAGATAGCTTGATTGCAGTTAGTGATCCTCTGCAAAACTTTTTATCTGCTGGAAATTCAGTTAAAACAGAATTGTCTCAAGACACAACAGTTGACATTACTAGAAAATTGGCAGCTCTGAATCCTGCATTTAGAGATGATCGACTTATGAGAAATCAAGATGGTCTACCATACCCTCATGGTCCTTATGATATGAGGGACCCTGGTATTCCATATCAAAATCTTAATGTCCAACGATCTCCACAGCTCCACCCTCAGTTGAATCACATTGGTCCAATGTTTAATCAACTAGATTCCCATCCTCCTCATATTAGTTCATATATGAAGCTTACAACTCCTGAGGGCATGGTTCATCATGACTCACCCCCAAATCATCAATTTCCAGGAAATATGCTTCGTCCTCCATTCCATCAACCAAGTAGTGGGCTAACTGGGTTTGATTCTCCTGCTCATCATTCTATGCTACAACAGATGCATATGCAAGGGAACCTTCCTCCACCTCATTTATTGCGTGGATTCCCAAGGGGTGCTCCTCTGCCACCTCATCCCAACAATCCAATGTCTGGTTTCATGCAGGAACCAAACCCAATGCAAGGCTTCCCATTTAGTGGTCATCAGCATCCTACTTTTGGTGGCCCTGGAATGCAAGTGCAAGGTAAAACATTTGACGTACATTACTATTGTGCTTGCTTTTGTAGGATTGTTGTAGCTAACTTAAATGCATAAAATATTTTGGTCCATTAACTTGTATTGATGATTATGAAATATGGATTGTTTTTTGATGATGACAATTGACACTCCATAGTTTATTTGCTGATAGATGTTGGGCATGATCTCAAAAACTAATCCATAGGTTTAATGCTGTTTTATTTTTCTTGGAATTCAATTTTGTATGCTTCTGAATTTAATTGAAATTCATAATTTCAATTGTTGTAATTGATGCTCATTGCTTTGATTGATCTTAATTTTATAGATCATAGATTATGCCAGTGTACGAACGTGTTTTTCTTGTTAAAGGTTGCATTGGTTTTTGAGTTCACTGGATCACTTGCAAATCATACATCCCTATTTTTTCATAATTGCTGCATTATTGATTGATGAATTTCTGCTTGCACATGTTCTATTTCCCTTGATGGCTACATGGGCATGTCAGCAAACTCAACGCTTACATGCAATCATGAATACATCCACTGTCTTGTGTTCACATAAGCACACTCAATGAACTCTTGCAAATACCCACATAATCAGGCACCTTTGCATGACCACACAACACACACTCATCTGCCAGTTCAAGTGTTCATTTTTAGTTATTACTTTGTTCTGGTTGACACAGTTGCTTTTACTTGTGCAAAAAAATTTAACAATCGCCAGTGAAAGCCTTGTTGTCAAGTACACTTGGGTGGAAGACATTTCATACCTAATTGTTATTTTCTTGTTTTGCAACTTCTCTGGATCACATGCCTGAAATTTTCATCTCCAGTTTTAGTCTCTTGCTCTATTTTCAATACTTGATTTGCTTTTTGGCTATTTTATCAGCTCCCGACGTTGCTGGTGGAAGAAATCATCCAGAAGCGCTTCAGAGGCTTTTTGAGATGGAGCTCAGGTCAAACCCAAAGCCAATCCATGCTTCAGGGCATAGCCAGGGGATGTACGGTCAAGAGCTAGACTTGGGTTTTGGGTATAGATAGTGTATTGTCATTGTTGATGTGTATACTAGATTGTGAATCCTTATGTTGTGCTGATCTATAACTCCTGCATGAAAGATGGGTTTAATACGATGCTTTTCTTTGGAAAAAATAGCTTTTCTGTAATTAATGAATTTTTCATCATTTTACGTTTATCCGGGATTTCAATTTGCTGCCATTTTTGTTCACACATAATCAAAGTGCTTCGAAGATATGAGTTTTGGAACAACGATTGATGATGCTATATGCAGGAGGAAAGGAATCTGATGTTGGGGATATTAGGCACATGATCCAATATGGAAGGAAAATAGTTAAGCAGATGCTTTTGCTCATGCCAATGACATGATGTGATTGTATGAGAAAAAAATTGGAGCAGTTTAGCAAGAGAAAAAAAAAATACTGACAAAATCTTTATTACTCAATCGTGTTCTTAATTTTGTGGCATACGTCTGATACAAGATGCATGTTATGAGCCCCACTTTTGCATGTTTCAGTTTCACCTTTTGTGATCCCGAGCTCTTGCTGGCAGTGTCATGATTAACGTGCTACCTCATGTTGACTGGCACGTGTCTGAAAAATTAAGGATAGAATTTGAAGGAAACCAAACAGATGAGGGGATAAAATATGAAGGGGTTATGGTTTGACAGTGGATTTACCCAGATATCGGGAACATTTTACGCGATAAAAAATGTTAATATAACACATTTATCACTGAATGAGATTCATATATAATTCAATTAAGGGGGGAAGTTTTACTTTTCATTTAGTGAATTTTATATCATATTTAATGAGTCGTACATAAAATTTACTCAAAAAAATTGATGCTAACATTCTTCCTTGTGGTGGGGTGGAAAGGTTAGATTACACAATAAAGTTGTCAGTATAGTACTAAAGGTTTTAATAGTTATTGTTCTTAAAAGGAAACATTTATTCTATTAAAGATACAAAAATGATTTGAACTTTTAATTACTTAATAAATCTTGAAAGATAAATGGCAACGTAATCCTTTTAATTGTGAAACATTAGAGCATAGTCAATCCTCTTCTTATAAATCCGAATGAAATACCTCAAACTATAAAATGTTGATAGTATATTGGCATTTTTTATTTGCTGAAGTTTATATACTAATTTGCATTTTTTCATATCTTTCTTTTAAAAAGCTAATGTGTTAATTGCCTTTTACAAGAACGTAGTTATAACCTTTGTACACAAGTTACAAGTTTTGAAAAAGACGACGACAACAAAATTAAAAATTCATAAAAATTTTATGAATGTACATAATTAAAACAACCCTCACAGGGTGTTGAAATTATGATTGCAAAATTGATGAGCAACTATAACAGTCAGCGGATTTTTTTAAGTAATTTTAAAATGACTTTTTTCAGCATTAAAGAAAAGAATCGACTTTGTCTTGGGCGTGAACAGAAAATGCACTTGCTTTAAAATTTTACACATACTTGAATATACTTTTCTTTCTGGTAAAAAAAATACTATTGTGCATGTGAATGCATAAAATAAGTAAAATTTACCTCTGCTGTTTATTGGTTTATATACAACACAGGCAGCACTTCCTATTTCATAGCATCACTCGTATAAATACTAAATTGTAGAAGGAAGCTTCGCAGCATTACACACAAGCACTCAACAGACTGTACAGTATAGCCTCTGAAGGTTACCTCAACAGGATTCTCATTATCCTGCATTCCTAGGACAACCATCTTCATAAGATACCTACTACAAAACCTAACACTACTGAAGGATAGTAAATTACACTCACATGCACATGCAAGTATCTGCACCCTACAACTGTTGGTAAAACCTGTTGTCCGCGCTCCTCTTGTGCGTTCATTATGTAACACTTATTGCAGCCGAGAGGGAAGCTTATTGCGTTCTTCAAAAATATCTAAAATCTTAGCTAGTCTAGGAAAACCACTTCTAACAACTTAAGCAGATAAGATAGCACTCTCTGATATGTCAGTGAGGGGTTGGCTGCAATGACTACCAGAATTTGCCTTCTCCGAGTTAGCGTTGTATGAAGACAGCAACTTTCTCTGCATTAATACCAAATGATTGGAAAAAAGTGAATCATTGAGTATATTATGATGTCAGTTTATGAAAAGTCAAATGCAGTAAACCAATAAATGATGCCATGATTTTAATCAGCAAAATGAGAGGATGATACATGTAGCGAAAGAGCATGCATATATGCTAAATCTGAATAACAAGTTTACAGGACGTATGAATTTTAATAGGGAAAAACATAAAGATTCCCCCCCAAGGGTTTTCCCCTTCTCACCGGAGCTCTAGCTCGGTTCTCTCCAAAATACAATTTCCTGGATGTTTCCTTTCTCTACCATTACCCCTTATGCATCAAATTTTTATGGTGTTTGATTGGGTATTGCCATAGGCATAGCTGTGAAATTAACCCTTAGGTCAGGAGGGGTGGTTAGGTAACAAACACCTACTCAAGGTGACAACTCTAGAATCCTTACATTGCATGTAATGTTCGTTTGGGGTCACAGTCCATTTCCACTAGGACTAACCACTATTTAGTCCGTTATTAATGTAATTGTCTCCTCTAACTAAATCACTACCCTACTTTGACTCCTCTTTATTCTTTCTTTCTACCGTAACACAGAGCATGAGGAAAAACTGCAGCTTAAGAACTATAGAAACTCTTCAAATTAGTTGAGGCAAATGCCAGGGGCACTTGTTAAGGAATCAAAAGTAAAAAGTATTATAAAGAAGAAAATATTTGCAATTTTGAAAACAAAAAATTCAGTTTTTCCTTTTTTTAAGTAATTAAGAGTATTAAATGATTTTTAACCAGTAACCTTAGAGTACTTGTTACCAAAACCCATTAATTAACAAGCGAAATAACTCATCTGTTGTTTAATTACCTTACTGGTTACCTTCTCTATACTTTTGCATGTGTATGCAATTATGCATGTGAAAAAAGTTCTGTGATTTATATGACATGGCCGCATGAGTGAAGCATTGTGCTAAACAATATAATTGATTCCTTTTTCTTGTGTGCACACGCATGCAAAGAAAAGCATCTAACGTTAAAGAATTAAAGAAAAATTTAGCATTATCCAAGCTAGAAAAAGTAGTTATAGAGCAAAAGTTCTATTGTCCCAGACCTAAGCCACATTACGAATTTTGCAGCAACAAAATACCAAAATAACAAAATATTTTTATCGCATTAACATAATTCCTACAATTGAAAATATCATCTCATACCAAGAATTATATAATAGATGTAGTAGAAGATCAAAAGATGAAAGAGCAGCCAAATAGACTCGTGTGCAATAATTATGTGTGTTGACAAAAATACCAAGAGAAGAAGTGCAGTAGGTTTAGCAACAAAACTTACATCATTCTCAAATTCAGGACTCGTTAAATTGGTGGAGAGGTTTCTCATCAGGAGCAATACCTGAAAAAAAAAAAAAAAATAATTCCTTGAAGTTCCTTTCAAGTTTAATCCAATAGCTCAAACCTTGTACATTCACCATTCAGAAGCAGAAAAAAAATGATATGGGGCGAAAGAAAATAAAGGAACTGAGATCACTTACAGTTTCCACATTTATTGGGTCCATTTGTTTAAGCGTTTGTAGATGATTAGTTGCATTTGGATCAAATACACTGCCAATGAAGCTGTAGACTTGTGCAAAATCTGGCATTACTGCGTAATTGGATAGGCAAATTTATCAAAACAAGCATGAAAAATATATGAATATACTAATAAAAGATTCAGTGGCAACACCAGGCATATTGCATGTTACATAATGGTGAACTTAATAGTAATAAATATTTCTGTTTCTAAGCAAATAAGAGTAAGCATCAGTTCAGGAATAGTAAATGAATATTATGAATACTACAGTATTATTATTAGGAAGATTGACATTAAATATTTGAATATGCTGCTTACCCAAGTAGTAAATTCAAAATGAAGCTATGGTTATATTTGTACTTTTTATAAGGCTCGTAGGTAACCAGGTATTGTGTCAAATACATCTTACCCGGCCCTTCTCACTTCTTGAAGCCCCAACACCACATTGTTTCTTTCCACATCCTTCTGAACTGTTTCTAAGGGTTTCTGGCCCTACTCTGTATGGCTCTTGGGAAATGGTTTTAGTAAATAAGTGAAAACTTTAATTATAACTTCATGACTTTTACTTCCTTGAAATGAAAACTTCTAGAAGCAACCCCATGACAGCATGTTTCTTATAAACTCTTCCTATCGTTTTAATTGATTCAAAAATAAATCCAAATAACCACATTATTAGAGATGCCATTAAGATACAACCAAGAAAAAGACAAGGTACTTATAATAATAGATACAAATGAATAAGTGGAATTAAAAACTATACATTCATAAAAATTTCTCATAATCCAAATAACTGTGTGGTGTTTAGTATTCATGCTCATGCTTTTAATCAATTTTAGGTTGAAGCAAATTCAAATTTGAGTTAAAAGTGCATTCCTACCTTTAATCAGCTTGCCTTGGTCACCCTGGTTTGTCTGTTTGCTACTTGGCCGAGTCCTAGGAGTACTCTCATTACTACTGCTACAGCAATAATTGAGAGGAATAGTTTGTTGATTCAACACCATATCATCTAAGCATAAAAATGAAAATCCACATTAGCAGAATTTTCCATGTATCTAAATTTGTCATAGAATTAATACAGAAAAGTACATAATTTAAGATTTAAAAATTATATGGAATCCAGGCTAAACAAAACCTTTAGTCACTTGTGGAAGATTGACTGGTGGCGTAACATTGTAGCCCCACGATGGCAAAGACACACTGCTAACTGGAGTTCTAAGCACAGATGATGAATCTGGCCTATAAATGTATGATGATTCAGATAAAGCAGATGAAGATTGTAATGGCCCAGTTACTTGGGATATAGTAGGAGCTGATAAAATGCAAAAAATAAAAGAGTAATTCAAAAATTGATATAATTCAATATACTAAAGACACAAATACTTGACATGAAGTTTGCTACACTAACCATTTTTAGAAGCTTTTTGTGGGTATGGGTGAGCAGCTTTTCTCTTTGGACGAGGGGGAGGTACATGCTCACTTGTGCCATTCTTCTGAACTTTCAGGAAATACTTCTTCTGCGCATGACTTCTTATCTGCCAAAAGGAGGAAGTAGCAAAAATTCAATTCTGCAATTTTGCATAGAAGGATCAAATAGATTAAAAGAAGAAAAACTTTTGTAAGTATTGATTTGGCAGAGAAAAAAATTAAATTAGTTTGGTAATAATAATGGAAAAACTTACCAACAACTTATACAAAACAATTTATGACTTTCATAAACTGTTTTTAGCTAATCACAATAAGTTTCATCGAAATTTATGGAATAGGTGATCATTTTAAAAAAATTATTGAATGAGTGCTTAAATAAGCTGGGTATCCAAACGTATCCAAAATATTTATACAAATTCTTTCTACTATGTTCCTAAGTACACATAATAGAAATTATTAATAGTAATTTTTTTATTAAAATTTGTAATATTTAATGTTATGAATATATTAGATCCTATGGTTAATAATAAAACTTATTATACATGTGTTCTTATTATATGTTCGTGGACATGCATTAAAAAATTGTATATTAAATGCAAAAGAATAATGTTATGGGTAAAATTGAGGGTTATACATAACTCAAAGTATGGGGTTGGCATTTTTCTGAAAACTATCACGTAACCTTTACTCATTCTGAGAAACCTTTAATCAGACAATTTCTTAAAATTATCTTGAAGCCTTGTACTAATTAAGGACATCGACACTGAATAAATTTCCCAAATACCCAATATGGAATAAAAAAAAGAGAGTGAAATAACCAATAAAATGTCTAATGGGCATTTTTCAAACACAGTTTTCACTTTTATAAAATTACCTGGATAACAGTTTTTGAACCAACAAATGCTTCAATCTTCTTCCAGTCACGATCGAATCTGAAACCAATCAGAAGAAACACAGAAAAAAAAAAAACATAAGCAATAATAAACAAACAACAAAAAAGAAAAGATTTTTAGACTCCCCCAATTGCAAAAGGAACCAAAAACACAACCTAAAACCAAAAGGGTCTCCATTGCAGCAAAAACCACAAACACAAAATCCTTGCATTACTCAAATCCCAAAAATTCACTCATCATGATCAACAAAACACAAACACACCACCAAACCAAATCTTAATTCACAACAACAAAATCAAATAAAAACTTAAACTCCCATGAGTGAATCATAAATTGGAGAGAAACGAAAGGAAGAACACATACAAGTGAAGAGCTTCAAGAAACTTGTCATGTTCTTGGTCTGTCCAGTTTTCTCTGGACTTGGTTATTGTATAAGGTTTTCGGATCTTCTTATTGGGATCCTCCATGTTGATGATGGGGTCGAAGAAGTGAAAGGGTTGAGGTGGGTTTGGGTTGAGGGACACCATAAATAACACTAACAATATCTCTTCGCTTCAACAACCTCTTCAGTTATGAATTTTTGTTATCTTCTTTGTACTGTGTTTCTTCCTTTCTTATTCCTTTTGGTAGCTTAGCTTAGCTTAGTTTAAGAAGAGAAAGGGAATGAGAGGTGGCAATTTTAACTTCATTTTCCACAAGTTGGAACCGACCTTCACACCCACTCTCTCTCTCTCTCTCTCTCTCTCTCTCTCTCTCTCTCCATATATATATATACAGACAGAGAAACCTGGCAAGACATGTGGCAAGAGTGAGTGGGTTGTTATTCTTCTAGAAAATAACGTTTGAGGTTGAGCCAAAAAGATTTTTTTTTTCTTTCCAAGTTTTATTTAGACAGGATTTTTATTTTGTTATTTTTTAAAATCAGAATAATATTTATTCTTTGAGATTTTTAATGTTTCATTTATAGATGATAATATACGGGCGGATCCAAAAAAATAAGTGAGGGAAGGATCGAAAATAAAATTCTAACATACGTTAAAAAATGACATGTATAATATATTGTTCAAAGAGTTTTATATATTGAAATATATTAATTTTTTTTTGCGTGAAGAAAGTTATTTTCAACATGTATCATACTTTTAGTTTGAATGCGTAATATTTATATTAGCTATTTAATTTTTATTAGATAAAGAGTATCCTAATAAAGATAAATATAATACTAATTGTTAATATTAATATTTTTAACGATACCCGGTTAAATTAATAAATTATATATTTTAAGCACAAATTAAAAGTTTTAATATAAAATTTTAAAAGAAAATTTTAGAGAAAGTTGGTCAAGACCCAATCTTACCCCCTTGAATTTGCTCATGTGCTCATGATAATATACATACTTTACAATTTTGCCTTTAATGTACCTTTATATAATAAATTAAAATAATAATTTTTTAAAGTGAAAAATGAGGTAACTTCCATATATTTAAAATTTTCAATCATCATAAAACATAATATATTATAAATTGTTGATAAAATGTAATTAATTAAATTAAGTTTTTTAAATATCTAATTTTTTATATGAACATAGGAGGTGGGATGATCAATCACGACTGTTGCACCTTCATTAAAAAATTATCAAGGGACAAACTTTCTTTAAAAATGGAAACTGTAACTTAAATATTACATACAATATATTTGAATTGGTGGATTTTTTGGTATAAATAATCAAAGGTAGAATTTTCGGTTTAGATATGGTGACTCGGGATTTTCTCTTGCTTTGTGAAATGGGATGCCATGAGTTAGATCTAGGTTTTCAGGTGTAAGAATGAATGAATCTTTCAGTAGACTAAATTAAACATTCTTGACATTGGATCTTATTTAAGTAATTTATAATATTTTATTAATAATGTTTTTTTATCATTTAGTAATGTTTTTTTTTTTTAAAAAAAAGCTGCTTTAAGTAATTTTTAATTTATAAGATCTTAGTTTTTTTTTTAAAAAAAAAACATCTTTATTATATTCATTATAAATTTTTGTCATTTTATACTTATCATTTATTTTAATAATTAACTTTATCAAATACTTTAAATTTTTAGCTAATATTTGGGTATTATGAACATGGGTTGGTTCCAATAAATGCATCCACAAAAGTAACTGGTATAAGCATGTATATTTCAATGTTCAAGAGCCGTCCAAAGTGGTAACCCCATGATTGATCTCACTGGAGAAGAGGGCTTTTGGTTCAAGACTAATGTGCCACTTCAATCATTGGTTACAAGTTCTTCGACACTGTCGAATATCAACCAAGAAATTCTTCTTAAGTGCCCAGGCCCCAGACAGTAGAAACATATTTAAATCTAATTATATATATATTTTTTATGTTGTTTTGCAATAAAAAGAGAGTGAAAAATGATTTAAAACACGTTAATATAAAATTTGCATTTTGTAGGGGAAAGAATAACGCAAGAACGAACAGAAAAGACAAGTGTATTTTGGAACCTAAACAAATGATGTGTCTTTCTCTCTCTTAATAGATGATCAATCCAAGGATCCTATCTATCCCCTTTTCTACTTCCTATTTCTTAAAATGCGAGATCTTGTCTTTCCATTCTGTTTTAAAAACAGTGTAATGTTAATGTCATGTCTCAGCGTCGCGCTTTGTCCTGTTTTCATCACTTAGCTATCCATCCATTTTTCTCATCAATGCTTACGTATGCAATTATTCATAAACAAGCAACTCATTCACCATTTGACGAAGAATAATTGCTCTCTAGATTTGACAAAGTTTTACTTAGGTTATTAAGTACCTAATACAACCCTCATCATTCGTTTAAACTTTGAAGTTAAGACGTGTTTTGTAAGGAATGACAAGTAAAGCATAATCAGAGTATATTAAAGAACAGAATATGAGTACGGAACCTACAGCACGGGTATAATTATAGATAAAACACAATGGTTTTGTAAGTTGTACTGAATTTTGTCACTCATACATTTTTAAAAAATACCGAATAAATCCCATTATGACCACGTGCAAAATTGTAAAACCTGTCCATTGTTTTTAGGAATAATTGAAAATAAAATTTATTTTTTACTTTTAAAAAGAATTAAAAACAAAAAAAACAGAAATCAGACGAACTCTTAAAGCATTACTTTTAAAAAATAATATAATTTTTAAAACACCTTCAACTCTGAAAAATAAATATTAGATAATTTGATATTTTTAATATTATTATTTTCATTAATATTTTCTAAACTAGTGTCGTTAGTTTTCAGCTCCATTGGTTGGTGATGTTTAATGGTTATTCAGTATCAAGTTAATTAATTAAAAAAAATGCCAATTTTGGGGTTTTGGTGTTGGGGGGGGGGGGGGGGGTACTTAGAAAATATTTCTTTGTGAAAAATAACGATATCTAAATATAAATATCATAATAATTATACACAAAAAACAATTAAATCATAAAACTGTCACTCAAAATCACCACGCTCTCCACACCGACACCGAATAAGGATTACAGGACAACCAAAATATCATTACACGAGGGACAAGTTCATCACTCTAATGAAATCTCACGAAAATTTCATAATAAATAATAAAACAAATGTTCTGCTCTACACTATAAATACATTTCAACCTTTCACAAAGAAACGTCTTTCAGTCACATTTGAAAGATCAATTAAGTGGCGGGTCATGAGTGATTTACAAGCTCATCCTTTTTTGAGTTATGCAGACCTGAAATCAATCTAATAAACTACGAATAACAAGCTTCGCATCCTAGTCTACTCAAGCCAACGAGTAACTCCATCTTCGCCAACAGTTGCCAAAATCTCAATGCGTATATCCAAAACAGCCTAGTATTGGTATCAATACGAGGAAACAGAGATTAACTAATCAGTTTGCAGAAATTTTACAACCTGAATTATCATCTTATAAATTATGATAGCCATCTGACAAGCATGGATATAACAATGAAGCAACTCAAATTAAGTTATACATAGTGTAATGCATCGGGAAGAAGATTTGCAAGGGTAAACTGATGAAAGAACCTAATAGTTGGCTAGAGTGATGCCTTGTCGGGACATGACTTCGGTTCATAGGATAACCTAGATTTTGTGGAACAAAAGCATCACAATCTACGAAAAATGCCCAATGATTTGAGTTTACAATGAAATTTCTAAATGTTAATCAAAGATCAAGACAACCAAAAGGGTAAATAAAGAAATAAACGAGCCCTTTAAAACTGTCGTCTACATATCTCCAATTTGCGTTCCTTATGTATAAAGTAAAGAGAATAGCTTGGAGAAAAAATAGAAAGCAGCAACACCATATGCAACCAACTAAAATGTTTTGCAACTAATTACCAGATGGCAGGGGAATCAGTCAGATCCCATACCAATGCGTATCAAATATAGATTGCAACAGAATTATATGAATGGATAACAAAGGCAACTTACTGATGGGTTTCTACAGTTCACTAGTCTGCAGTCCTGCAAGGAACCTTCTAGTGTCCAATTCTCCCAAACATCAAAACTATGACTAGCAAATACAAACTCCATTCTTCTATTGATCTGCAACATGACGTTTATAACCAAATTAAAGGCATCAATTGTGTTAGAACTTAGAAGTGTAATATACACAGTAGGGTTAGCCATATATCTAAATATTATCATTGAAAATATATTCCTCAAAAACAGTAGAAAAGCATGCAACAAGAATCAGCATTTATGATCAGGGATGAATCCAGAAACTACGTCAATCTATATAGTTATATTTTTTTGGTATATACTAAAGATATCTTTAGTTAATTGTTAGAAACAAACTTTTTTAAGACAAGTATATTGCCGAAATAAGTATAACCTCTTTTATAGTCAATATTCTAATGAAACGTAACTATTTACTAATTATGCTACTTTATATATACATAATTGTATTACTAAACTATATATAATATATTTTTACATTTAAAAAAGCAAATGCATACTTAATTTTTAAAAAATATTTTGGGAAGGAGGCCCAGGACCCACCCTAACTCTCCTTGGATCCGTTCCTATATATGATAATAATTCTAAAGGAAATCTATGATCGAATCGAGTCTCTTATTATGCAATTACCTGCAATAATTTTCCACCGGCAGCAAGAGATCGCAATCCAATTGTGTCCTAAAGCAAATGCATCAACATTAAAAAATCAGCTAGTTTGCATCACCCTCAAGTAACCATTCAAAATAACTATTTGAAATACAAGCTGGCATATAAGCCCTTGATAGGTGCAAAGTTCCTTTGAGACAAACCTTGCTTCTGAAGATGATGAGGAACTGTGCAGCAGGGTCTCTTTTGGACACATTTGACATGGAATCCAGGATCCAACCTCCACCTTTAACTCTTTGCCTTGAGACATGAAGTGCAGGGCGGTCTCTTGCATACAGAGCTATAACATATCCATCTCTCAATAGCTCAGTACAGTTTCCACTAAGCCTCATGCTTGACTTTATAGCTTGAGTGGCAGTTGGTTCTTGCATAGATTCTATTGGAGTTTTTCTACTTCTTGAATCTTCAGAGCTGGAGCTCAAAGCTTGGTCAGTGCCGCTCATTGCAGTATCATCTCTCTGAGATGTGCCTTCTTTCTCCAGTGCAGAAGGATCTTCTGATTTTTGTTGGGACTTTTGACGGGTATGCCTTTTCTTGGCTTTTTTACCTGACCTGCTGCGCCTTCCCTCGGATCTAGCACAGGTACTCTGAGTCAAACTAGATACCTGATGC